AGTGAAATAAAGCACACCAACTTGCCTTTAATAAGACGGAAAATCATGTTGTTCAAATAGACCGTCATCGAGCCTCTTCCAAATAGCATCTTTCCAGGTTTAAGAATAAATTCATCCAGATATGCCACAGGATCTTTAGACAACTGTTTAAAGGAACAAATTGGAAAAGTTTAGTACAGTGCAAAGTCAAAAGAGAGCTCACAGGAAGAAGATACTAAGTTTGTATTTTCTCCCTCCAGGACACAAGCTTCCAAATAATACACAATTTTTAGAAACAAAAGAACTTTAGGCCACACAAAAACGTAAGAGCTTTAATGTGTATAAGGTACTTATGAGGGTAAGGTGTATAGAGACATAGAGCACATCTCGAGACTACACCCTACTGAAAAGAAACAATTTCTTATGTTGTGTCGCAGCAGCAAGAACATGGAAATGATGAGTAAAAGATAACAGAATGTACCTTCGCCCACATAATCTCTGGCATTGCTATAAAGACGGTCAAAATTGTACATCCAGGACGGATATAGCCCTCCAGCTCAACAGGCATGTTGGCCAACCATTGGAATATCTGCAAATTCAATTAATCACATGCTATTAGTTCTTTGAGATTTTGAAAACGGTAAACATAGTCTCTGAACACTAAACTGTAATATATAATTCTTGAGAATACTTGATGACGTAGTCTCCGTGGGAACTCCGCTGGATTCCAATCGTAGAGCTTGAAAGAGATCCGACCAGTTGGGCACTACAATGAAATGAAAAATTAGTTCATAAAGCGCACAAACGTTTTTGATGTTAGAGTGGCTGAAGAGAAACTCACAACAGTTGAGTAAGCACTTTTGTTGTCGCCATTGGAAGGTGAACGTTCAAATTTTGTGTCATTCATTCCTTCATCTGGTTGAGCTTCACCCGAACCTGTAACAGAGACAAAGTTGTCTGCGTTGATGCTTTGGGTAAAAGGTACAGAACCCTGAGTGGGAATATGCCGATCTTCAAAAATCAACGAAGGCTCTTGTTCTGCTCTCTGGTCACTAGAGCATGCATTATCTGCTTCAAAATGATAGCATGGACAAGCGAATCAGCTTGAATTTCCAAGAGAACTCAAAACATTGGTAACTAGGATAGTATGCAAAGCAAACAACTAAAATAAAGAAACCACATGGTGATATGATTTGTGCTGTTCACTTATACCTTTTCCATCCTCAACATCAATGACGCTGTTATCATTCTGTGATAGCACTTGCTGTTGTTTTGCAGCAACGCCTCCTTTATCTACAGGTTTCCTTTTCCGTCTGTTGTTGTGACGCTCTAGCTTTCTCCGACAGCTGCGCTTTCCTTCATCAAAGTCCGGGAGCACATGAAACCTGCCAGATAGTCCTCAATGATGGATACAGCATAGATAGGAAAAAATAAATACATAAACAATAATACTGACTACTAAACAGTTGGTAACGGCGAAAAAAACCAGTTAAGCTCATTTAATGATTCATGTGAATTCCGTGGAATCATTCAAATCTCTCCCCAAGTTATCCAATTTCCTAACGAATAGATTCAGAGTTTCTATCCCAATCAAACAGACAACAGAAAACCATCCCGATCTTCGATGATTTTGTGCTGCAAATCAAATCTCAGGAACAATTCTGAACAACACCTAAGTCAACCACAGATAAAAAAGCCCAGGAGATGCATAGGAGATTAACTAAGACAGTTGCCGCTGGATTCAGCTATCAAATCCAATTCTAAATTCCATGATCAAATCTCAAAGCCAAGTTAAGAAGCAAGAAAAGAAACATACTTTCCACACTGTTGACAGTATCTCTTATTCTCTCCATCAAGGACAACGGAGCTGGCGTTAGCACACCGGAGACAAACCCTATGCCTCTTATGGTACCCTTTGAGCTCGCTAATATCCGCTTCACAATCCGGAACCTGACATCGAGCCACCCCCGACCCGCCGCGAACCCGCTTCTTCTTCGGCAGCTCGGCGTCCTCCAATTTCTGATCAAGCTCAGGACACGAACACGGAAGCATACCTTCAATGAAATTGGAACAAATCAACCTCGGGTCTCGCTTTCTAACCCGATCCGAACCAGAACCCGATTCTTCCGGAGAAGGATACAATTCAGATTCCGCCGGAGTTTGCGTCGGAATCAGCGGCGGAAGAGGAGGAGAAGGAACGGGAGGGAAAGGAGTTTGATCGGAGTCTAAAGAGAGAAGGCGTTCATCGGCGGCGAAGTCAAGGAGATCTCCCCAATCCCACAAAGCGGAGGAATAAGTGGAAGGATCATCGTTAACCAATGCCGGCGGTTGGACATCCATCTCCGGCGGGGTTGGCGATTGCGACAGAGAAGACATCTGAGTCTTTCAATTCAGAGAAATATTGAAAGGTCCATCGGTTGTTAAGGAAGTTGGTGATTTTGGTTGAAAGATTTTAGCTTTTAGGTAAAATTGCAGAAAGTCGTCAAATTCTGGGAACATAGCTTTTTTACCAAAACTTTTATTTTACTTTATTTTTTATATATGAATATATTGTAATAACAAAAAATAAAATAAATTATCTAAAATAGTCTACATTTTTATTTTATGAAATGACTCAATCAAACATGAACTCGTTGAATTAATAAACACAATCATTTTTTTTGGTAAGCAAAGGGAGGCTCCCATATTATTAAAAAAGAAAATACAAACTACAAACGGACATTTCGCGGATGCGATAGTCCTATAGAATCCTCAAACAGAATCGAACTAACACACTCTGGTGGAGCTTCCAACAAATGGAATCCAAACGGTAAAGAGAACGCATAGTTAGCTAATCCATCTGCAAGACGATTAGCCTCCCTATACACATGCGAAATACGGACAATCCAGTCCTTCGCGATGAAGCCGTAGCACAAACACAATCATGATTATTACTTTAATCGTGCTTTAATAGTTTATTCACATATTCTTTCCTTCTTTTGCCTAGATTATAATTCACATTCTTTGTCACAAAAGACAAAATCCGAATATTCATTATATAGGACTACTATTTTCAAAATCATAAATTTTCAAGTCAAAATTGATTCATAAAAATTAGAATGATCCATTTTATTTTCAATGTGAAAAATGATTTTTGGGTAACATTATAAATTTTCTACTATTTAAAGATTTTTTTACTGCATATACAATACAACGAAAATATATAAAATACCGAAATCTACGAAACAAACAACATTACGCAAATACTACATATATAAATAAAATCAGTGAAAAAAGCATGTTTTGGAAGAATGCATAAAAAATCATTTGTATTGCAAAGAGTGAACCGCGATCCAAGGCTAGTCTTTAATACATCGGATCAAGCGGTGCTAACATTTTTTCCTAGCAAACTATCAAATGCATTAACCACGACCATGAACGCCACCACCTTATCATCAATTCACATCGACGAGAAAAAAAAATCTCAAGATGTAGAGTAAGAAGCGATGGCCAATGAATGCCAACTCCACGACCACCGAAGAAAAGAACAATGCAAACCCGCCATAAAGTAAAACACCGAAATTTCACCACCACAATGTAAAATATTTTGACATAGAACAACTTAATACAAACCCAAAATAGTTTCATAACACAATCGTTTTCGAATGGGATAACTGCATAATGGTTGGACTTAATACTACATCTTGTTATAATATCCAAAAAGTTTTACAATCATAATGGCATTATATGTTTCATAAATCAATCTTTAATACGAAGTAGATGCATTAAGTTTTTAGTTAATATCTTTTATCAGAAAAAAAGAAGAAGTTAGTACTAATTAAACGGGAAAAATGTCATTTAAATCATCAGTTTACAATTTTCGTTGGTTTAAATCATGAACACTAGATCTGATGATTTAAATCCTTAATTTTATATTGATTTTCAATTTAATCATGAATTCTCATTGACAAAGCCAATTGAGTATATTGCTAACTGGCTAAACAGATCAATAAGACGATGTCATTGCATAACTGGCACTTCGAAGCCATCACATAATTTTTCTTCTACATCAACATGGTTTCTATCTTCCCTTTCGTCTGATTGCTCCGTTTAGCCAGTTAACAATGTGTTTCAATTGGCTTAATCAATGAGAATTCGTGATTAAATTGAAAGTCAACAGAAAATTGAGAATTTTAAATCACTAAATCCATATAAAATTGAGGATTTAAATCATCAGATCTAGAATTCATTGTAATCTCATGATTTAAATGACAATTTCACCCTAATTAAACCAGAATTAGGCAGCTTGCACTTTTGCTGGGCATATCTCTCTCTGTGTTGTAGGGAGGGAGTGTCGGGGCGTGAGAGACACGAGCTATACGGTGGCAGCACGTGATTGGTTGAAAGGATAGTCGCGTGTAAGCTACGTGAGTTTGAGGAAATCAACGGTTCATCCATCGTTATCGAAAACGACGTCGGATCAGTGTTACTTGGGAGGTGAGCGACCCCAAAGTGCTCTCTCTCTCTCTCGCTTTTTTTTTTTTTTTTTCTCCAATAATAACGGTGGAATTGTGGTCTTCTCCTTCCAAGTCATTTAGACATTTACCAGCAGAATATAGACACGTCTCTCATCTGCCATGTGATGTATATTATAACCTTCGGTACTACTAAAACATTACTTTATTTTGTTGTCTTCTTATAGAAATAACATTTTTGCATGACATGGTTAAATTAAATGATTGGGGAATAAGAATATTGGAGATAAGCCCACTTTTCAGATGGGCCAGTACGGGCCCAAGAATAAATGATGACACCATGAATGATTGAATCACCAATATAAAGTTGAATCCGGGGAGAACAGAAGGGTCAGGTGAGATTGAGAAGTCTCTATATATAGTCCAACGCCCAACGGGAGAGCAAATTACGAAGTACTGATGGATGGCTTATTGGAATAGACTTTCGAGTACCATTGAAATTTGAAAATGCTTATTTGACTTAATCGTTGGCTTATTGGATGGATGATGAAAGATTACGTAAAGACATAGTAATAAAAGACAATGATATAAACGATATCTGTATAATGTCTATCATAATAAAAAATTTTTAGGGTTTTACAACATAGGAATCTTGCATTACAAGGCAATCTTCTTGCTTTGTCGGATAATTTTGAGGCTTACAACAAGCTTGGCTTCAATAGTAAGCAACAATGATTCCAATAATCTTTTGTCACACTCTGCACATATCATTGCATCACAGATTTTGATGTTTTAGCTAAAAACAACAAAATCAACCACCATTTTTGAGCAAAGGTTTCGATTCAGACAAAATCGGCTGAAAGAGTTTGGTTTTTCTGCTTGTCACCTTTGGTGGTGTTCATGAGGTGGGTATGCCAGGAACTTGAGGAACGGCAGGTTTAGGCTGCTTGATCTTCTCCACAAGCACTGCTTGAGTCGTGAGAACAATGCCGGCAACAGAAACCGCGTTTTGGAGGGCGAATCTTGAAACCCGACAAGGATCTGCGATTCCAGCGTTTAGAAGATCCTCATACTTTCCAGACATTGCGTTGTAACCACTTCTCCATTCAAGTTCTCTGGTTTTCTGCACCACAACTGATCCATCAACCCCGGCATTGGTTGCTATGGCCATTGTAGGTGCCGTGAGTGCCTGCAAATAATAAGTGATTTTAACTTTTGAAGGTGTTTTAGCAAAACCTGAAATGGTTAAAAAAAAAAAACCCAGGTTTCACTTCATCATTACCATTGCTACTATATCTGCTCCTATTTGTTCGTATGAATCTTCCATTAGATTCTTCTTGATTCTTGGTATCTCATCTAAAAGATGGATATAAGTGGCACCACCACCTGGAACTATACCTTCTCTCATGGCTGCAAATGTAGCGTTCTTCGCGTCCTCTATTCTTAGTTTTCTGTCCTCAAGTTCTGTTTCAGTGTGACCTCCCACCTAAATTAAGACAGGGTTAAGCTGATATCTTCAAGAGGACTCAAAAGAATCGAGGGCTGAAACAGTTTTTTTGTGTCTTACTTAGGTAGAAATTAATTTCTGATGAAAGCCCAAGTTGTTGCAGCATATTACAGAGAAAGAAAGGTTATTGTAAAATCGGACCTTTATCACAGCCACACCTCCAGTGAGCTTAGCAATTCTCTCTGCGATTTTTTTTGAAAGATATGAATTATCTGTCTCAGCTAAATCCTTCTTCATCTGAGCAATTCTTGCCTGAATCTCCGGTTTAGTTGAAGCGTCTGCGACTATAGTTGTTGAATTAGCTGTAATTAATACTCTCCGAGAAACACCCAGCTGATCTGAAGTTGCACCCATGAGAGTCATGCCTAAATCTCCGGAAAGATAATCAGCTCCTGAATTATATGATTTGTCATGTTAGAACTGAAAATTGTTGGTGAAAATCCACTTGGAAAGTACAAATGATTGAGAAAAACCTGTCATGAGTGCAATGTCTTGTAGCAGAGCCTTTTTCCCATCCAACATCCCAGGACATTTCACAACAGCGACATTGATCAAACCTTGCTTCTTGTTCACCACCAGTATCTCAAGCACTTCTGCTGAGATATCTTCAGCAATTATAAGGAGCGGAACACTCAGTTGTGAGGTTTTCTCCAGTAACGGAACTAGTTCTTTGGCTGAAGTGATTTTTTGATCCGTCACAAGGATTTTAGCCTTGTTGAATTCCACAGTAGATTTCTCCTGATTTGTGATGAAATGAGGCGACATATAGCCCTTGTCAAACTGTACAAAAGAAATATTCCTCATGAGACTGCAGAAAACTCAATGGTTTGATAATCTTAAAGAAGGTAAATGTGAAACTGCCATTGTGAAGCTTTTAAAACATCCAACTAAAGTTTGAAACTAACCTTCATTCCTTCCTCAACTATAACAGACGTTTCTGAAGTGGAAGATGATTCAATGGAGATGACGCCATCAGGGCCAATCTTTTCCACAGTTTCAGCAATCAAGTTCCCCACAAATTCATCGTTACCAGCAGAGATTGAAGCCACGGCTACAGAACATAAAAATCCCTTTTGAAAATTATTTCAAAACTAAGACAGGAGTTGGATCAAAACTTAGCTATGGTAATAAGTATAAAGCAACCTTTAACATCATTCTTCCCTTTGACAGGAATACTTTTCATCTGCAACACTCTGACCAACTCTTTAACAGTCTTATGCATTCCATTCTTCACAGCAACAGCATTAGCTCCAAAAGCAATAGCCAAAGAACCAGCTTTGATCATTTCTCTAGCCAAAATGATTGCAGTCGTTGTCCCATCACCCGCTGAGTCGTTCATTTTAATCGCAACCTACACAAGAAATAAAACTCGCAGGGTTCAGGTTACTACTAATTCATATCATGTAGAGCTCAAACAATGAAGTAACGAGGAGAAGAAGGGGAATATTTAGCCACCATGAATGAATAACCTCTTGGATTAATGTTGCTCCAGCGTTCTCAATCGTGTCAGGAAGCTCAATAGATTTAGCAATGGTGACACCATCGTTAATCACTTTGATTGTATCTTTTTCAGCAAGCACTACATTACGCCCTGCATCGTGAATTCCACAATCAAAACAAAATCAATTCAAGAATCGGTAACCAAATTCGAAATCAATTGACTCACCTCTGGGCCCTAAGGTGATGGAAACAGCATCAGCTAACTTATCGATTCCGGCTTGGAGTGCCTCTCTGCTATATTTTCCGTACAGTATTCTCTTAGCGCCTGCTCTCACCACCGAGAATTTTCGAGGTTTGTTCATCTGTCCACTGCGGCGCTACAAGAGCGAGAGAAATTGTTCAGTCAGAATAAGAAAACTCTAAAGGGGGATAAAATGGGGGTGAGGGGAAGAATTGAAACTCACCGGAGAAATGATTGTCGGCGAGAAGGACGACGGTGAAACGGCGAACATTTCGTCTCCTCCGGGTTGTTATGGAAACGATGCGAGGGAGGTTTATCGAAGGGTTTTGATTTTTAATTTGGGTGACCGAGTTTAGGAAATTCCATGACCCGGACGAGTCAGAAGGGACGAGTCCGTAATATTATTATTTTCCAAGCCGGCCCTTTTAAACTTTTTTTTTTCACAAAAAGTTGATTTTATTAATTACAAAGTAAACCACAGTACAGTATTACATCATATTAGTAGGAGCATTATTACAAAGCTAGCTTCAGAGAATGTTAAAACCTTTGTAACTTCTGCTTCAAAGAAACTAATATGAGGGATCATACTTCTTAAGCGTACAGCTTATGAGTATCTTCCAAAAAAACCCTTGGCAGTTTAACTGTGACTTCATCAAGCAAGCACCTATGTCCAAAGCTACCAAACAGTATGCTACACACATCAGTCGTTTATCCAGACCTATACTACACCCATCAACCTTTATTTCCATTTCTATACTACAACCATTTTCCGTTCAAACTAAACTAAGGACTGTAATTAAAGGTAACCGTAAAATCTGCAATCCATTGCAGAGCCAAAAAGTGTGACCGAATTTTTCTTGAGTGGAGTGATCATTTATCCCAAGTACTTAACGTTTCTTGGGTGGCAGCTGGCTTTCTGTTATTATGATACCTGGATACTTCTTCTTCATTCTTTGGTCAGACACCGGAGGTGATACACTTGAGCCCTTTCTTTTGGAAGACTCCCCTGGCTCTAAATTTGTAAATCCCATTGAAGGAACACATCCATCAGAATGGAGACTACTATGAGAGTGCTCTGAAAGATGTCGCCTTCTATGACAAGAACGTGGTCCAGGGACTGTAAAGACGTCAGTATCATCAGCACTAGAACCATGGAAAGAGGGGAGAGCCTCTGACATATCATCATAATCCGCCGGTGGAGTAGACATCTGAGGAGGCTGGGAAATTGGACTGGCCAAAGAGCTATCAGAGAGTTGGGATTGTGAGTTCAAATCTGATCTATTCATCTCATCCATAACCTCATGGCGTCCATTCACAGAGCGATCAGGACCTTCAGGACTGTGTCTTGGAATAAGAAGGTATGGACAGTAGCTCCGGTGGTGAGTTAGCCTAAAACAGTGACTACAAATCCTACGTAGTCTCTCATACTGAAAACTAACCAAGGCTCTTTCACCAGATTCAAACCTTATCCTTCTGAAAAACCTAAGACTATCCGTAACTTTTTAACTTTTAAAGTAAAAACGTGGCAAAATATAAAGAAAAATCTTTTTTTTTTTAATACGATAACACATTTAAATATAGCGATTCTTTTTGAACGATCAAAAATATTATGTTTAAATTTGCGGAAAATGTGATGATGCATAGTAAAATACGGCAAATGCTTAAAGAACCACAAGGCTCATATGGGCGGTCATTGTTCACTAGATGGTTGTGGCGAGTTCATGGCAGCCGGCGAAGAAGGAACCCCAGAAGCTCTCTCTTGTGCCGCATGTTGCCAAGTGCCACCGCAGCTTTCATATGGTAAAAAGAAAATTACATTCGGGTATTCTGTCCTAACTGTTTTGGAGACGATTGTAGGGGACGATAACCGAGGAATTGCGTTCCAAAGTATACCCGAATGTCATTTTCTCTTTAGTTTCTGAATAAATTGTGGGGAGACAAGACTCGTACCGCACTCAGAAAAAAGAAAGAAAGAAAGAAATGCGATCATGTCATGTTTTTTTTTTTTAAATCCATACAAATGATAACAAAATATAGAATGAGCTGAACATAAATTAAAATAATGATATGTCATATTTATATATACATTTTTGGAGTACATTTAGCAAATAAATCCTAGCTTTCACTACTATTTACAATGGAATGTCACTGAAGTTAATTCTTAAGATTTGCAAAATTAAATAAAAGATATTAATAAACAATTTTCGATCCTAAAATCTTGCTTAAGTCTGATGTTTCCTTTTTTTTGTTAACGATTTTAAAACTACGTTCCTATAATCTCATATTTTTGGTTATGGTTTTAAGGAATTATAATTAGTTTAAGAAATTTCTATAAAAAAAATCTAAATAGTTTCCTACATTTTCGTTTTAGTACTAATTTAATAGTATATACATATATAATAAATATAAAAAAATCTAAATAGTATCCTACATTTCTGTTTTAGTACCGATTTAATAGTATACACATATATACATATATAATAAATACTATCCAAATGTAAATATAATTAATGAAATTCGGCTTTAACACCAACAAATCTTTTGTTGGAAAGATTTTTTTTAGATTCTCTAATTTGTTATCAAAAAGAAATATAACAAAATGATGTTCAATTTCACGGGACGGGGTTATATGGTGGGACGGGTTTTGGTCGATATTAATATGGAACGGTATACGACGGGTGAAATCCTAGAATTAACAATCAAATACAATTATATAATCTTAAACACTAAATAAAACAAATAATATTAACAAAACAAATGCAATTTAATATTTAAAAATTTTAGTTATAAAAAATAGATCCAAGGTGTACAGCGGATAATATAATAATATTAATATATAAATATATTTAATCAAACAAAACAATAGGTTATATCTATAGATAATCTTAAAAAAAAAATCAAACTTTTGTTTAAAATATAGTCCCACGGTATACCGCGGGTTAAAATCTAGTGTAGATATATAAATTGCTACAAATCAATTAAACGATTAGAATTTGATAGTCGTTAATTATACAAACGATTAGTTACTTTAATTTTTTGCGGCATTTTGAATTCAATCAAATGGTTGATTTCATTACATATCCAATAATATTCAATTAAATACTCAAATCTGTAAATTTTGATTAGATTAAGCCCATAATATTTAAAATCTGCAAGCCCATAATATTTATAAATCTATAAGCCCATAAACAAGCCAGACCATAGCAGCTTCCGACAACTGTTGTTTTGAAACTTTCAGACAGTCGTCGATTCCTTCCTCTCTCCCTCCAAATTTCACTCTCTAACTCGTTTCCCGATAGGGTTAGGGTTTCGCGATTCAATTACTCCGAAGACCTAAAGCAGAGGAAACTGTGAAATCTTCGATGGCTAGAGCTAGGAGCCGGAGCAGAAGCTATAGTCCCCGTCCTCTTGACAGGTCACCACCACCGCGTGCGCGGAAAAGCTACGACGATTATCGCCACCGTGAACGCCCATCTTCTCGCGACCACGAATCCTCTGGTCCTTCTGGTTTGCTCATCCGTAATCTCCCTCTCGATGCTAGGTCTTCCTCTTTCTCTATTGTTCATCGACATGTGTTGATTTTCAACGAATTGTTGATTAATTGGTACAATTTCTGCCATGTCTGTTCTTTTTTTTTTTTTTTTTTTTTTTGTTTTCAGGCCAAACGATCTTAGGGATTCGTTTGAACGGTTTGGTCCACTCAAGGACATATACCTGCCAAGAAATTATTATACTGGGTATGTCTCAAGCTTTGTCTTTTATAATCAGATGCTTATATACATTTCCTAGATCGATAGAGCTAGTTGGTGTTGTTTGAGCAGGTACCTATAATTTCGATTTGATGATGTTTTTGTGGTACAGAGAGCCGAGAGGGTTTGGATTTGTTAAGTACTGTAATGCTGAAGATGCAGCTGAGGCGATGAAACGAATGAATCACAAAGTTATTGGTGGACGTGAGATAACCATTGTTTTCGCTGAGGAGAACCGCAAAACTCCACAAGAAATGCGTACTACTAACCATACAAGGTGGAAATTCCGTTTTTTCTTGTATCTATATCAATTTTTCATTTTAAATGTGATTGACTTGTATGTAATTTCTTCAGTTACTTCCTACTTCTATTTGGTTTAATATAGTGGTCGACATGGGGATTACAAGAGGACTTCACACAGATCACCAAGGCGCAGATATCGTTGTAAGTAGCTTTGTCTGCTTTTAACTTTTTGATATGTCTAAGGACAACTACAGTTTATGGTTAGAACAATACCTATGTACCCTGTGATGTTTACTAACTGAGTCGGTGAGTCCTTCCTTTCTTGTTAATCAGCTCATTCACGTTCACGTTCTCCTCCAAGGCGAGACTCAAGGTTTGATTCTCATCTATTAGTCATATGTTATTGTTTATGCTCACTTTCTATTTGATAAAATGTTTTTTTCGTGGAACTCGTTAATGTGAATCCAAATGGCAATCATTCGGTCATTCCTAGCCACTTAGATTGTCTACCACTTGTGTGGATGCTACAAGAAGAAGGCACATATTGGAGACTTCTAAGTTTATAAGTCTTGTAGAAAAATGTTTATTTTGGGTGTTAGTTCCTCCTAAAACCTAAACCTGGAGAGTTATTTCACCAAGAAATCATCTTCACTAGCTTTAGTTAGCTAGAGCTCGAATATCACCTGGTCAAATGGTTATCTATAAGTTTAGCAAGAGAATTCGTAGGTACTATCCTTACTGAAATGAGCTTGACTTGTGTTTTGTTTTACATATGCCATATTATCATCTAGTCAAATAATAAATATATAGACTTACAGTGGCCAAATAAAGAATGATATTTGGAGAAATGGAGCCATTCAATGTTGTGGACAGTAGAGAAATTTTACAAGAGTAAAGATAGGTTTTTTTTTTCCATAAAGTCGGAGAAATGAGAGATTTTGGAGCGCTTTTGCTCCATAAAACTTTTATGGCAAAAGTTGGAGAAAAGAGATCTTTCAAGTCTTTCAGTGATGGCATTGTAGATCCTAGAACAGGTTGGAATACCACTAGTTATTTCGATGTTATCTTCCAGAAATGTGGAGAATGTACATGTTAGGTAATGTAACAATTTGTTTTAATCAGTAAGTGAAGTGGAAGAGTGTGAGAAGAATCATAAACCATCTGAATAACTTTCGTAATATGTTTGCATTTCTATCTGTGTATGTTTAGGGAAAAAAGTTAATTGTCTCAGCATGTAAAGTGTTTTTTTCCTTTTTTTTTCACATTTTCACAGGCACAGACACAAAAAAGTACGAGAGGATGATTTGTACTCTCCTCGAAGGTCGAGATCTATTTCCCGTTCCCCTTTGCCCCGAAATGAGAGGGAATACAAGTCTAGCAATGTGTCTCGAAGCCCAAGGAGAAACTGTAGAAGTCCTGGAGAGGAGAGTGTGCTTACTCCAATTAAGTCTCGAAGTCTGTCAAGATCACGCTCTCGATCCTTGAGGTAAAGAGCTGCATTGTTATTTAATCAAAACGCTTTCCTGAGTTTGAGGACTTGATTGAGTTGATTTCATCTATATTGTCTGTGTCTCTATCTCTATTAACGTGGTTCTTTGCAGTCGTTGAAGTTCTAAGATGTTCTTTTGGCTTTGAAGAAGGCAACTTTCTCAGTGGACATAAGATCTGAAGTTTTACTATGAATGTGTTTCACTGCCTTTTTTGCTCTGTGTTTTGTTTGTTTGTTTCGTTCTTAGTTTACCCAACTTAAATTCCCCTTTCTTCTTTTGTAATGTACCTTAAATTTATAAATTTATTCTCGGAAAGATGATTTAATCAAAGTTTATGCTTTTCCAATCCACAAGCGTAACCTTAATAATATCACGGCATTATAGGGTTCTCTATTACTAGTGTCAACTTTCAAGCATGGTAGAACATAAGCAGATAAAACCATTATTCCTTGGGACAACTTAAATTGAGTCATTCTTTGAGAACTCGCTATGAAAGCATTTGAGAGGAAAAAATGGGATAACAAACAAACAAGAGAGTAACGCTCATTCAAAAATGAACATTTTGCTTTATTAGGGAGATACAAATCAAAACATGACAACAACTTGTGATTTTCATTTCAAGGGGCACACTTTCTCGAAGGCTTCTTGCTCTTTCCTACACAGATCAAACTCGTTCGTGTAGTAATACATACACCCAACATAATCATCCATCTCCTTTTGGCACTTCTGGTGAAGATCCTTCAGCCTGCAAAATACAACAGAAAAAGTAAAAAAAAAACTAATGCTTTACCGGAGGTAATCATATGATGTCTGAACGTGGAGGACCTAACATCATTAATCTACGGTCTGAGTGATGCAGATTGCTGGTCACTATGCTCAAAGAGTTCAAAGTCTTTCTTATTTTGATATTATACTATCAGAGCACTACATCATATTGTATACGAGTAATCAACTTATAAACATCAATGCTAAGTCTTAGAAGAGCAGCCGGAGGGAAAGTAAATGGCCGCTTAATGGCTTTTAGTGGTATAAATCTATCTCTACTTGGCCAACTATGAGAGTAGAATTATTTCTTGGTGTGTACCAGTACAAGAAAACATGATGGGGAAAATTACATGGCATGAGTTGCGGAATCAAGGATTTCACAAATGCTGAAAATGCAAGCAAGCCACGTATAGCTCTTTCTGAACTCTAAACCATATACAAACTTTGACTCGTTGATTAATCATGTTCAAAACGACCTGAGCTCTATGAAAGATTTGATGGCTGATCTAGGTGACCCTATGGCTAAGAATAGTTCAAGCTTGTTGGAAAGAGAATCCACGAAACTGTATTCAGATACTTTTGCTCAGTTAGTGAAAGTACAGTATTTCAGAAAAAGAACTAAGTAATCCCTGAAGTTCCTAATTGCGTGAAGTCCTTAAATCAACACCGAAATCTCGACCCGTTCGGCTCCCATTTCTGAATCCAAGCTTACACACTAAGATTGGAACCCTAAATCAATCATGTGATACTCACTACCATATTCAAAATCAACACAAAGGCTTCCTTAACACAATCAACCAAAGAAAGCCTGAACTACTAAACTAGTAAAAGAGAACCAGAAAATGAGTTAAAGATTACGTACAAGCCAAGCACGCAGCGAGTGACGTCACGACCTTTGTCGAGGCATTTCTCTGGGTTTGGATCATTCTTCTTGCATTTGAGGAACGCAACATTCTCCGGCATACACCTCATACCTATATGCTTCGCCGATGCCGTCAACACCGCCGACGTAGGGATCGGATTACCCGTAGCGTCCACCGCACTCGACATCGCTCAGAAATTGGAAAGCCCTAAACCAGAATCCGAATGGAGAAATTTAAAATTAATCCAATCCAATCTACAATTCCTTAGCTAAAAGCTAAAATCCAAACACAAGAATCCACACCAGAAGCTAACAGGAAGATAACGAGTAAAGGAGCAGAGAATGAACATTGACGATACCTTTTCAACGGATCGATTTGGATCTTCTTCTTCTTCTCCAGTGAGTCGGACGGGAAATAGAGAGAGAGAGAGAGAACAAAACCAAGTGAGTAGCAGCAGAATGAACATGGGCCACATTGGGCCTAATCAGAGTCTTAAAAAGTGCACCGTTTCAATTTAATGGGCCGAATGAAAATAATTTAGTGACTGTGTTATTCCTTCTTCTCATTCCCGTTTCATCTCCGCCGTCCTATCGCCGCCGTGTCGTCGCCTTTTACCATCGGTAAGTTTCCCAGTTTCTGTTACTTTTAGATCTGTACTTAAACATCTGTGAGTGATTTTTTCTTGTTGAAGTTGCATTTGGTGAATTTTAATGATACCATTTTGTGATAAGCGCAAGCTTTGTTCTATGTTTCTTGCCGAATTTCTTCGAGTGATCTTTTTCTTTGCATCTTTTTGTTAATTCAATCGAATCTTTCAATGCTATTGAAAAACAAAAGTCCGTGATTGTACTTTGGTCTGTTGTTTAAGTTTTAAGGTCGCGTGATGCAAATGTTGAATTGAGATTTGGATTGTTAATGATCTTCTCTATGGTGTAGTCAAAGTGAGAAAATGGGGGACAAGAGGAAGAAGACGTTCATGTTCATCCGTCTTGTTTCAGCTGCTGGAACTGGATTCTTCTATGTCAAGAGGAAGAGTACCAAGGGCCTTCTTGAGAAGCTCGAGTTCCGTAAGTACGATCCTCGAGTCAACCGTCATGTCCTCTTTACCGAGCAGAAGATGAAGTGACGGAATTCTTTTGTGTGTCATTACATTCCAAGAACCCTGATCAAATCTCCCCAACTAGTTACTTTTCAATCAAATAACTTCTTAAGTTAATGTTGAGGTTTAGACTTTGTAAGTTTCAGTTTGGGCATTCTTGAGGAGAAATAGTGAAATACATTCATAAAAAGCAAAAGACTTTATCATAAACCAAGAATAACTATGTGTTGCATCGACAACGTGCTGTCAGATAATGACTAGTTGACACAAACTAGAGCACCTTGGAGATTCTAAGAGTTGTTTCAAGAGACCCGGCTCGTGTTTATCTCGACAAGACTGATTCAAACGTAGAACAAGCTTCTTCAGTGTTGTCGAGTTCTCCAAAAAGTAGCTAACCAGTTTCAGTTCCGTTGCTTTATCCGTTATCGGGCTTTCGATATCGACAGATTCAAGGGATGAAATCAAACAACGAGGCGGGGCAGTCAAAAGTCCACTTGTCCCTTCTGTTACTAGAGAATCATGAACCAGTTCCTGCAAATCCCAAATCGACAACATAGAAACCAAGGTGAGTGAATAACATATAGGAAGCTAACTATCTATCTAAGAACTTGTAAAAAGTTTAAGCAAATCATCACCAAGGTGAGGTGTTTCAGATTTGGGCATGTCTCAAGAATGACTGGCAACATTTCCGGAGAGGAGTTTGAGAACATAGTAGCACGCAAACGAGCCAAGTCATGAAATTTGAATCGTGGCTTCAATTCCAGGTGACGATAGATGAACTGCCAGATAGAGTAGAGTAGATTGAGTAAAAATTCTGAGGGAAAAGTTTAGAGATCAGTTTGTGTGTGTATATATACCTCAAGACTCCTCCTTGAGATGGTCATATATCTGACATTTGAAACACAGGATAGAAAATCACAAATAATATTTCTTTTCGACAATACCGTACCACCTATCACTTCAAATACGACATCAACATCAACCTTGACATCTTCACTCATACTGACCATCTTGAAGCCTTTGCATTGGTAATCTTTGAGATTCAGATACTCAAGTCTCGGAGTATCGATCACAACTGTAAATCCACCATTGTCAACATAATCACGATCCGATAGTTTCAAAGTGAAGCTCTTTAGTGAGGCAGAGCAGACGCTTAAAACTTCGACAGCATCATCTCTACTCTGGCTTATTTTCAAGTCTCTAAGAACCGGAGAGCATGAGATTAGTGCCTCTGCAGCCTTGTCACCCGGAAATATAACCTTTTCGAAGTGCATTATCTCGAGACAGGGTAAGGAAAGAGACTCGAATTTACTCAGAATTACGAAACTGAGTTTCAAGGTTACCAATGTGTGACACATTGAAAGGATCAAAGGCATCATGAGGATACAAAAGCCAAAAGAATTCTCGATTTCAAAATGCTGAATCTTACACTTAACAAGTCCCATCAGACAGGCCTCGAGTGTAGAAGTGTCATAGACATCGTGGTCAGTGTTTAACTTGAATCCACGCAAGTAAGATTCACCTCGAAAATTCAGAAACTTATCGACGAAACTGGCAGAGGGATTGTCATCTGAGAAGTCGGATTTGTCCAAGTCTAATCTAGGAACCCAAAGCCAGAGATCTCTCCATCTAGAGGACAAAACACTTGTCCTAACAGAATCTTTAGTCCTAAGAAAGCTAAGTATATGACATAACAATGGTTCAGGTAATATGCTTAACCTGTCTTCCCCACTTGTACCAAATCGTCCTCCTTGCATAGCTTTTGTTTCAAGATTTTCTTGACAACTACAAAGACACCTGAAATTCATTCAAAAATGACCAGATTAAACGAATTTCACAGTTTACAAACCTTAATTTCTCAAAATTTGGCCTCTGATATAAGCATGCTTGAGAGATCCTTGTGATCCCGATCGTTTAAACTAAAAATTGACCAACAAAAGATGAAGTGGAAGCGCAAACATGGTGAAATTTAACTCAAGCATGAAATATTTCATGAGATGAAATTTAACTCACCGGAGATGAAATATTCCGGCGGAAATGAAACTCTCCTCTTATGCTTTTAGTCGTCTGCGGTTGACTACGTTTAACTACGTCAACTTCTTGTTAGTCGTGTGTGCCTTAAAAGATCTGGTAGTGGTGGGGTTGCGTAAAAAACAGTAATTTAATAGACAAAAGAAAGAGAGGAAACAAAATGAGTATTAGACTTTGAATTATACACATGATTTTTTTTAAAAAAAATTTAGTGAGTTATTTGAAAAGGATAAAACTATAAATCAATATATCTAGTATATCATATCCTGTATAAAAATTGATATATTAAAGAAAAATTAACAATCAACCATAAAATAACTTTTTAAATGTTAGGATTCATTTATGTTTGGGGTTTGGAACTCAAACCAAAAGAGGTGATCATAAAACGTACGATTTTATTAAAAAAAAAAAAAAAAAACTCAAGCTCAAAACCTGTAAACTACAGCATCAAGTCAAAGAATGATAATTGACACAAACTAGAGCGCCTTGGAGCTTCAAAGAGTTGTTTCAAGACACCAGGCTCGTGTTTTCTCTCCAGTAGACTCATGATTCAGACGTAGAACAAGCTTCTTGAGTGTTGCTGAGTTCTCCAAAAAGTATCTGACCAGTTTCAGTTCCGTTGCTTTCTCCGTGATCGGGCTTTCCATTTCAACGGATTCAAGGGAAAATACCAAACAACGAGGTAACACTCTCGAGAGTCTAGTTTCCTTTTCCACTAGATGATCTTTAACCAATTCCTGCAATCACATATTGACAAACATTAATCCAAACTAGATTTTTTTTTTAAGAAACCTTTCTTGTAATTAAAGTAAAAAAAAAAAAATTGCACAGTTTAAGTAAAATCATCACCAAGGTAAGGTATTTCAGATTCGGGCAGCTCTGAAGAACGAATGGCAACAGTTCCGGAGACGCATATGAGTGCATAGTAACGCGCAAATGAGACAAGACATCAGATTTGGGTAATGGGTTCAAGTCCTTGATATGATGTTAGCACTGCCAGCAAAAGAAAAGGTGAGAAAGAGTAAAAATAACATAAAAGAGTATATTCTACAATACGAAATGACTAATAGAAAAGTTTAAAGATCGATTGTGTATATATACCATAAGAGCCCCCCATGAGATGGTCATATCTCCAACACTTGAAACATTGGCGAGAAGATTATAGATGGTATTACTTTCCGTTAACCTATATGCATTAGTCAAATCAAAGTCCACATCAACATCAACCTTTGACCAAATCACTCACATTGATTATTCTGATGTTTTTTGTGTTGGCACTTTTTGAGACTCAGGATATTTGAGACTCGGAGCATCGATCACAATTTTACGATCGCCAGTAAGTTCCTAATATTGTCTCCGTCCTTTTGCTGATAGTTTTACTATCTATGGATTTGTATGTTGGTAACAGTTTAAAAGTTTTTCCATGATGATTTGGAGATTCTCACATATCCCTTTAACAATATTACAATCTCCTTCTGATGATTGTGAAAAAAAACACATCTTCCATATTGTACACTTTCAGAAGACCCAACCCAAGACATTACAAAATATCAAAAACTCTTACCTTTGTGGCTTCTTTAGCATATCCAGAAGACTCTTAAATAATTATATCTTTAATAACAACATCCATGAAAATTCATACAAAGTAGTTTTACAAGCCCAAGCGATGTAAAAGAATGGCATGAGGTAGTGGTAAAGTTTTGGACTAGACCGTCTAGCCTCCCTTTGTCGAATGCAACTTTGATGTAGGTTACAACATAGACATAACAAAAACAGAGCAACATAAAAGGAAGCCATGAGAATTTCATCAGCAATAGCACTAAAGAACTTCAAATTGGGTTTAGAACCTCTGTGGTTTTACATAAATCCACCACGGTTCCGGATTTGGAGGCACTGGAAGAACTTCAAATTGACACAAACTAGAGCGTCTTGGAGATTCAATGAGTTGTTTCAGGACACCAGGCTCGTGTTTCTCTCCAGTAGACTCATGATTCAGACGTAGAACAAGCTTCTTGAGTGTTGCTGAGTTCTCCAGAAAGTATCTAGCCAGTTTCAGCTCGGTTGCTTTCTCCGTGATCGGGCTTTCCATTTCAACGGTTTCAAGAGACGATACCAAACAATGAGACAGCACATTTGAGAGTCTAGTTATTACTGCCACTGGATAATCATTAACCAATTCCTGCAAACACAAATCAACATAATCCAAACCAGAAATGAGTAGATAGAAAACCTTTTTCTTAGGTGAGAAACTTGCAAATCATTACCAAGGTGAAGTGTTTCAGCTTCGGGCAGCTCTCAAGAACGATTGGCAACACTTCCAGAGAGGCGTTCGAGAACATAGTAGCACGCAAACGGGTCAAGTCGTGAAATTTGGGTAGTAGGTTCATGTCCTGCAAACTATAGATAAACTGCAAGCAAAGAGAAGAGTAAACACAACATGAAAGTGAGAACTAGAAGAATGATAATGGGGAAGTTTAAAGCTTGTAATCAGTTTTACTTTACATACCTTAAGAGTTTTCCATGAGATGGTCACATCTCTAACACCTGAAAAATTGTTGAGAAGATTATAGATGATATTTCTTTCCGATAAGTTATCACGCATCAGCTCAAAGTTGACATCAAGATCAACCTTGACAGAGTCACTCATACTTAATATCTTGAAGCTTTTGAATTGGTAATCCATGAGACTCATATACTCAAGCCTCGGAGTATCGACCAACACTGTATGTGCACCGTTTATAGCATAAACAGGATCCTTCCGTTTTAGAGTGAAGCTCTTTAGCGACTGTGAGTAGACACGTAAAACAACGACATCATCATATCTATTGAGAGATATTTTTAAATCTTCAAGAACCGGAGAGCAAGAGATTAGCATCTCTACAGCCGCATCGCTAGGAAAGAAAACGTCTTCCAAGTACATGATCTTGAGACAGGGTAAAGAAAGAGACTCAAAATCATTAAGCCTTACTAAATGGAGCTTTAAGCACACCAATGCCTCGCACGCAGAAAGGGTTAATGGAATCTCATTGGTGTTCCAATGTTCAAGCAGATCACTCTCAACTTGGAAATGTCGAATATTGGGCTTCTTAATCACTACACCGAGACACGGCTCATAAAGAGATACATCACTTCTATGGTCAATTCTTAACTTGAATTCGCGCAAGTAGGAATCGCTCTGGAAATTCAGAAACTTGTCGATGAAAGCCGCACAAGTTTTGTCACAAGGGAATGGGAAATCAGACGTGTCTAATTCTAACGTAGGAACCCATTTCCAGAGATTTCTCCATCTAGAAGACAAAACACTTGTCCAAACAGCTTCCTCGGTTGTAAGAAAACCAAGTATACGATATAGCAAATGATCAGGTAATGAGCTTATCATATCTTCCCCTCTCCAAATTTGTATTCCTGGTCGACCAACCCTGAAATTCAACGATTTATTACAAATGGAGAGAATCAGAAACCCTAATAAGTTCTGAATCCAACTTCCTTATAAAAAAGCAATTTCCCGAAACCTAACTACGAAATTGTCAAATAATAATAATAATAATGATATGAAACAGGAACTTACCGTTTTGCGAACTTCCGAATGAGATTAACCATTTAATCTCTCTTCTGTTCTTGAAAATGTTAGGGTTTGAGAGCATTACCGTAACTGTTGGTCTTCTCTTTTTATCTCGCGGTTCTCTTCTTTTTTTCCGTCAGCAAATATTTTCAGCCCAAAAATGATTTAATGGGCTATCCGGACTCAGACTGGTCGGCCCAATAGATATCGCGGGTCTCAATCTTGAATTATTGAATACTGAGCGGTGAATACACTCTCCGTTTCGTTTTAGTTGTCGTTTTACGACTTAAATTTTGTTTCGTAATAGTTATCGTTTTAGATTTTCAATGCAAATGTTTGGTAAAAATTCCAGTATTATCCCTATTGTTTTAATGTTTTGACCAATGAAAAAATTTATAAGATATATTAATAAAAGATAAAACTGAAAATTTAATGTTTTTCTTAATTTGTGTGTAAAAACCTTAAACGACAACTAAAACGAAACGGAGGGAGTACTAACTAAACTCTCATTTTGTGTTTGGTAAGTGATAGTGATGGGAAATAAATTCCTCGTACAAACTTAGTCAAAAATACAAAAACAAAACTTGATTGTGTGAAACGCATCTGATCTATTTGAGTGTGAGATCTTAATCATCATTATTATAAAGACAACTAATTAGTTACGAAGATGAAATTTAGAGTCATCCATCCAATAATTATCTTGTGCTTTGATCATTGTTGTTGTTTACCACTTGAAATTAATTGTACTATGCATATTTGTTTGGTTTAGTTCGGTTTAAGTACAATTGAAATTAATATGGTTTGGCCAGATATCTACTTACGAGTCAGATTCTGGTCCCATCACATCTAATTGATTGGTAGAGTTAGTTAGTGCTGTGTATATAAAAACTCAATGGTTTAAGGCTTTAAACATACATATGAACATGTTTGATCATTTATAAATAGATACATATGAACTGTGCATAGCGGCAACGATATTGATGGACGGTTCTTGTTATATAATGGTAGAAGAAACAGCTGATTCCGACACGAGTTTTGAGTTTTGCGACGAACCTAGTTTTTCTTACCATCAAGACCACGACGATAACGATGCAAAATCGAGCAACTGTAACACAGGTGACATTTACAAGGATCTCGAAGCCAATTGGGACGATGATCTTCTAGTGCCGCTACTTGCCAAGGAACAAGAGGCAAGTATCTCGGGGGTCGGAGTAGATCATTTCACCCCGGAGGAGGAGGAAGAAGTAGAAGTAGAAGAAGGAAACAAGTGGTGGAGTAAGGAAATGATGATGATGATGGAGGACAAACTCTTCTGGGAAATGTGTATCGCTTTTGGGTATCCATAATTTGTAAACCGATTAAACTATGTATTTTTAGCCTAAAGTGTGTTTTTTTAGTAGTAAGTTTTAATTATCATTCATATGTAGAAAAAATAAGAATGGATATCGAATTTTTAAAAATATAATCGTGGCATTGAAATATATACTATTTCTATAAATATATGTGTGTGTATTTTAATTTTTTCATAATATAGCTAAGTAAAAAATTTGTTTTTGTTGGTTTTGGGGGTCAACGTTTGTAACTTTGAAGTTTTAAGGGAAAATACAATTAATGCGAAGAGAGTTTGACTAATGGATTTTCATTTTAGTAGAATTAAAAGTAAATGGGTAACTTAAAGAAGAGTGAGTTTGTTTGACTGGTAATTGAATTAAGCGGGTAATTAAAGAGCAGTAAAATGCTGGATTCTTCTGATGCATGAATAGTTTGCATACATACACACACATTAATAAACGACAAATTTCTCAAATCTCTCTAGATTGATTGCTTGCTTTTCTCCCTGGCTCAGAATTTTTGTCGATCAAACTTGATTTCTTGAAAAATTGTTTTGGTTTCGATTGTCATGGAAGGATCTTCAATAAGGAATTTTGTTCTCGCTAAAGATTCTTCATCTTCTTCTTCTTCTTCTTCTACTCCTCCTACTTGTTCTTCTTCTCAGGTATTCGAAATCTTGATTTTCTTTTGGTTGATTCTAGGGTAAAGTTGAAATCTTTATAATCCAAAGTCTCTGTTTTTGCACTAGTGTTTAGGGTTTATTATATAACTGGTATCTGAAATCAAGCAATCAGAAAGAAAGGAAATAGAGAATTGTATAATTAGTGTTCTTCAGTCCCTTATTACAATGATTTGTTAAGTTGGTTGCTTCACTGTAGAAAGATTCTTTATTTATCAGTATGAGTTTTTTAATCATCAGGCTAAAGAACAATCTGTTGAAGATGAATCCAGATCTCAGCCAAGTGGAAGCCAGTTGGATGTTTCTATCCAAATACCACCAAAACCGACGCCCAATTTAGGAATCTTGCGAAATTTGAGTCTGAAAAGGAAAGCTTCTCTACCAAACTATGAGAGAAGATTGCTACTAAGTCCCACTGTTTCAGAAACCAGTGAAAGGCCTCTTGTTGCAAGTCCGATCACATCGCCTTACTGGAAAAGATGTTTGTCACTTCCTTCTACTAATGCTGCTAAACTGTCTCTGGCTGTATCTACACCGCCTGTTTCAGCTGTGGTGCATAGTGAACAGCCTAAGTCTAATGTGAGTTATCTGTGTGTTTACAGTCTCGTTTCGATTCTAGTGAGCTAAATTATATTTAAATTTTCTTCAAAAAACTTCTTTTCAAAAGTATAAGATTAGAATTTTGTTGGTGCAGAAAAATGGTGTTCATGCATCAGTTTCAAGATCCTTGTCCATGAACAGAGTGATTGTACGAGCTGTCTCTTTTGACGACAACAAAAATCACATTTCTAACGAAGCAAATGGCGGTATATTGCTAACTTTCCTCGATAGTGTTGAGCTCTATTTGTTTTTGCCGACTGCTTTTAGAATTCATGGATAAATGATATGAGGAATAGATTGATTCACAAGATGCTTTATCAGTTCAAAGAAATTTGACTTTGATCAATGAAATGGCAAGTTCACACTCCTATGTTCCTTCTTTCTTCTGTTTTCATTAGCAGATCAAATCACCCCGGTTCCTGCAGAAGAAACAGAAGAAGAAATCCCTGAAGAAGAAGCAGTATGCAGGATTTGTCTTGATGTGTGCGAAGAAGGTAACACATTGAAAATGGAATGCAGTTGCAAAGGTGACCTCAGACTCGTTCACGAGCATTGTGCCATTAAGTGGTTTAGTACAAAGGGAACGCGAATCTGCGATGTTTGCAGACAAGAAGTCCGGAACTTACCAGTGATACTGCTTCGTGTCCCAACTATTAATCAACTTACCAATAGACGGGAACTCACTCAGCAGAGTTCACAGCCACAAACCATTAGGTAAATCAGACGCTATATAAACTTTCTCCTTTTTTTCCTTTTCCAAAGTTCCTTAAAGAAATCTAACAATTTAAGTTCGAATAACTGGTGCAGTGTAGGGCAAGAGTTTGTAGTGCTTGTACTCATCAGCACCGTCTGTTACTTCTTCTTCCTTGAACATTTACTGGTAATGCTTCCTTTTTCTTACCCTGACTATTCAGAAACACAAACTTTTCTGTATTTGATTACAAATATCCTATCTTTCATTACAAAGATCTTACCTTTCATTACAAAGACAACATAACAAGGAGTCTTATCTATTCTGTAGATTCGTGACTTGAATTCACAGGCAGTATTTGTCGCAGCGCCATTTTCATTCACCCTAGCTCTCTTAGCCTCAACTTTCGCCGTCATCCTCGGTATAAGACCACTCCCTAAAGAAAATTTTCCAATCTTTATTGTTCGTCCCCTAACACAATTACGTAAAACTGTTAATTATTATCATCCGGACTTGCAGCGATCAGAGAATACATATGGACATACGCAGCTCTTGAGTTTGCACTAGTGGCACTGCTTGTTCATCTGTTATATGCTACAGTAAGTAATACTAAACCATATGTCTTTAGGCTTCGAATTACTTAAAACACCTAATCTCATATTGGAAAAAGTTCTCATGTAAATATATTTTTTTGCAGCTTGGTGTGCCGGTTATCTATGCAATGCTTTTCGCGGGGATTCTGGGTTTCGGGATGGCAATGTGCTTAAACTTGTTGTGCATTTGTTATTCCTCTCGGCCTGTGCGGTTTCCGCAGAATACAAACTTAGTATAAAGAAAGTCTCTTCCTTTTTAGTTCCTTCTGTTCTTAAAGTTTGAAAAGGCAAATTGCTGCATAGATAGATGGGTTCCCCTTAAAACTTTGAGACCTGTAGATATATACAAGATCTTTGTACTTTTGTATGAAAAGAGAGAAGCTTTTGTGGAATTACAGTGAGAATGTGTGATTTGTGAAAGTACATCAAGTGAAAGAGGCAAAGAGCTGTTGTGAATGAGTTTTTTAGGTTCAAGAATCTTTTGAAAGTTTAAACTTGTCGATTCGTGAGAACTGAGAAGTGTTCCTTGTCAACTTCATTAAAATGTGTAAAATGGGGCGTTCCGAGAATCGAACTCGGGACCTCTCGCACCCAAAGCGAGAATCATACCACTAGACCAAACGCCCTTGTTGTTAGATAACAGCATTCAATCGGTAGTTAGATGATTCTTCACTTACCTTTGTTTTAGTTTCTCATCAGCCTAAACGGAAAACGACCCAAGTGAAGACAGAAATTTGACAGGCAATAATGTCTGTATTACACAATTAAGACAGAGCAAGAGGCACATATAAGCGAAAAGGTTTTTTCACCAACACATATTTTGATGGAAGTTAACGTCTGAATCTAGAACTGAAAACTACACATTTCGAGAAAATGTAAAAGCCATTACTACTAGTACTAACAAAGAAACAAACCTCCCTACAAGAATTAGTCTAAGATCTGCGCAAGTTACGGGGCAACGCACTTGGATCGAGCTCAACATAGCCTCTAAGAGCTCCATCTCTCTCTCCAGTTAAGCGGAATGCAGGAACATAATGTGAGAATCTCAACAATTCACACCTTGGGATCTTCTTCTTGACATCGATACCTCCTTCCACTTTTTCCTTGAATACCGAAATAAACCCATCCACCCGTTCCAACAGCATAACCTCTATGTGGCTGTCATTGTCATCAAGAACTTCAACAACCTCATATTCACACTTCTTCAAGCTTGCGGCCTTGATTGTTTCACTCCAGTTCTTGTACATTGCCCAAATTTCACCGGTCTTTGGGACGACAATGTACTCGTTTTTCCTGAAATGATTTTCTGCCTTAATCTGATGTGAAAAATCAGTCACGTTAGTGAGTGTCTCGTCCCGGCTTTCCTTCAAAGTGAAATTTCCACAACTGACTGGCATTCTTTTGTCATGCCACTGTATAATGTTCTCAAGAAATGATTTAGGCTCTAGCCGGTTTATCTGCAATTTGAATACCGGCCTCCATACTATCTGCTGAATCTTAGCGTAACACTTGGGCAAGCCATCCTCTTTGCTGTTCAATGACCATATCTGACCAGGTGCAAACTTTCCCTCTAATCTTTCAGCACTGAAGTTGTTAAACTGGAAATTAGGAATGACGATACAGTCTGGCTCCGATGAAGGTGGAGAGTGATGATGGACTTGGTTCAACTTGGCAGCTTCTCGTAATACAGGAACGGCTTCTTCTTCTTCAATTTTATGTGGTAATGCAGCTGTATCGAGCTCATATGAACCAATGGGAACGCCATTTCCTTCTTCTCCTGTCAATTTGGTTGAGGGGATGCTATGGGAGAATCTAAGCAACTCATGAGGCGGAATCTGAATTGTGTCTAATCCACCACCTGGTGCAATTCGACAAAATACACTTGCAAAGCCTTTTAGTTTACGCAAGAACGCAACCTCTATTGCAACCCCTTCAACATATTCTGACAGGATCTCAACAAACTCATACTCATACTCATGCTCATGGGAAGAACGCCGACGACCAGAGGACCAATTGATGTCCCAGTTCTTGAAGAGAGCCCATGTTTCTCCTATTCTTGGGTATACTCTGACAGTATCCTTCATGCTTCCTACTCTAGAGTAGATCAGATGAGAGAAACATGGAGTTTTCTCTATGTTCAAATTTCCACCAAGTTTGAACTTACCAATAGAGATGGGCAATTTTTTACGAACCCACTGTATTGCTTTCTCATCATCTGGTCTAGCCTCTAGCCATTGTATTTTGAGCATGAAACTAGGTTTCCTTATGACTTTTCTGATGAGGGCATAGTATCGAGGCATTCGACCCATGTCATCATACATTGCCCATGTCTGACCAGCTTTGAAACACGTCACTTCCCTCGACTTCTCAAAGTTACTGAAATCAGGATCAGTACACTCAATTTCGGCATCTGATGCACTCCCTGAACTTGAATCCTTTGCTGCATTACAGGCACCAGAATCCCGAGAGCTTCCCACTTGGTCTCCTTTTATCTTCTTCGTCCTGTTTATACCATTTGGCAAGGTTTCTGCAAACAGTTGATCCTCATGTGACTTCTTTCTAAAATCAGACTCCTCAGCACTTTCTGCATCCTCTTCTTTATTGTCATCATCGCTCTTATTCTCTTTATATGAAACCTGCTGCTTGCTACGGACTGACCTCCGAGAATGCTGTGCACCGCTGGACCCAGAATCTTGTCCACCAGCTGGAACTTCTTTGCACTCAATACTGCTCTCGCTGCAAGAGCTGTCACTGGATTCAACTACCTTCTTCCTCTTTCTCTTTCCATTGATGTTCTCAGCCGAAACACCAGAGCTTTTGGCTCTAGAACCCTCTTTACTTAAAGAACTTTTAGAAGAACTTTGCGGCTGCTTCTCCACTGCCTTGCCTGCCTCTTGTGTTGGAACCTTGCTCTGTTGGAAGAAGGGGAAAGTCGCCTGAACTGGTGGACCCTCAAAGTTTTCTTCAATAGCAATGTATTGCTTACCGCATCTCATACAATTCATTCGTGTGTTGATTAATCCCCTTTGATATTCATACTTCTTGTGACAAAAAGGGCATGAGGTACAAAACCTGGAGTCACCACCAAACACAGTTGGTTGAACTTGAGGTTTCTTCTGGTTTTCAGGTCTCTTCCTTTCCGCATTAACGTTTGTCTGGAAAACACGCTGAGTGAAAAAAGGCGTGGTCGGGGCTTGTTGGGGTTGAAATGACGTTGCTGGTGCTGGTGCTGGTGCAGGCCGCCTAAAAACGGGTTTCCGTCTCATGTCATGAAACCTCCTTTTATCTTTGTCCAAAAGAATCCTCTGAGCTTCACCAATGGTTTTGAAAGCAGATTCAGCACCAGGGAGTTTGTTTTTGTCCGGATGAAGATGAAGGGCAAGCTTCCTATACTGTTTCTTAATGATATTTTCATCTGCATTTTGCTCTACTTGGAGAATCTTGTACCAATCAGTCTCATCCCCAGATTTCTCCAATGCTGCACAATGCACATCACACACCATAATCATGCGAGCAACAACATTCTCCAGACTTGCATCCATTTTCTGAGCCTTTAAAGCAATTCTACGAGCAGTTGTGAAATCTGACTTGCTCATCCAATCTTCTGCTAACTCTTTGGCTCGTAGAGCCTCATCTTTGTTGCTCATACTAATAAAATCTCCCAGATTCCAATCTCGTCTCTTGCACTGTAAACCCTACACAGAGAAATTCGAAATTCAGCACTGTAAAAAAATGCAAAAACCAAACAAGTTTTCCAACAAAGACATTCAATTCAGACATCTTTGTTGCTCATACTTAAAAAAAAGTCCCAGATTTCAAGCTATTCTTTTGCTAAGCCCTACATGTAAAAATTCGTAATTCAGCACTGTCAAAAGAAAAAAAACGAAAGAACCAAACATGTTTTCAACAAACACAGCGAATACATTCAATTCAGACATGCGAAACATACAATAAAAGCGGCGAATTTCTCCGAAATGATGGTAAAATTATGAGCTTTTTGACAAAACCAAAGACTACTTATAGAAGACTAATCGATTTCAGAAAACAGAACCGCACTGAAGAGTAAGAGAATGGCACAGAGAGAGAGAGAGCGTCGGAAACTCACCGGAGTTGAGAGAAAGAGAGAGAGAGAGGAAAAGGAGGAGATAGGTCACCGTCAAAGCTCACGTCGAGGCCTAACTGCCTCTTTGACTGGAATCTGTCTTCGTCTTCGTTTGTGGGGAAACACCTCACGGTTTATATGGTTCTCTGGTTTTACTGTAATTTTTTAGAAACTTTAAGGTCATTTGAACTTTCTATTCTTATTTATTTACGTAAAAGCCCTTCAAATTTAGCTAAATTGCTACTAATTTGTGAAGAAAAGAGTATTTTGGTCATTTTGTTTTCTGCGGAAAAGACTTTTATACCCAAACTAAACATTTTAGGGGTATAAAAGTCTTTTTTGATAAGAGTAGATATTTTCGTTTTAGGGTTTTAGAATTTTTTTTTATTTGAATAAACTAAACAGAAAATCAAACCAAATTCGTGTATACTTACATGAATTCACTGTTAAAGTATTTGATAAATCGACACCGCTTTAAAATCCAAAAAAGAAAATCCACAACTATTTTTAGATCCATGTATTTGTTTAAAAAATGAATCCAAATAGAAATTTAAATACACTTAAACTAAACTATATTGGATTATCTTTTACATTAGTTAATAACTTATTATTATTGAGGCAAAAAAAAGTAACTTATTATTATTGAAAACTTCAAAACGCAACAATTTGATATGAAAATTAAGTAAATCCTTGTATATGCCATAAGTAATTAAACTGTAATTAAATAAATAATTAGATCAATGTTACAATTATCTCAGCAAAAATTACGAGTATATGTGCAGACTATGCACATCATCACTAATTTGCATTGCGAAATGATTTGAAAGAAGTTCTCTTACCCACGATTAACTTGATTATCTTAATCCAAAACATGCATGCAAAGGAAAGAGAATATGTCGTGTTGATTGTAGAGTCAATGTCAGAGCACTATGTTTATTATACCTTAGGTATAGTAGTCCTTAAACTATAGTATATGAAATTCAAGTACATAATACAGTATACTGTATCTTGTTTGCAATAAGTTAAGACTTAGGAGTGCTTATAAGCAAGCAATGTTTATCAATTATCAGTGTCCCTTCATCACCGCGCCATTGGAAGTTTTTCCTATGTTGAGTTTGTTTTAATTTCTCATTAAATCTAATCAGTGTATCTTTATGTAAACCTTTTTTTTTAAGCAAGTCTCAAATTTGAGAAAACTAAGTTTCATCAACATATATAATAATTAAATTTTGAATCAATATGTACCTAGGACTCATCATTTCTTTGGGCCGTTCATGATCGAAGCACACAAGTAACTTACCGATAACAATTTCTGGCGGTGGAGTATTTATGTATGAGACTCAAAATGTTGAATCAATAATGAATAATTAGCATGTTTAAGAACACAAATTTTGTTAGTACGAAAAAACATCTTTTCTTAAACCAGAATGTAAATTTAAGAAAAATAAAGTTCCTCTAAATAATATGAAATGTCGAATTAATAGTGAATAATTAGCGTGGCCTAGAAAACCCAAATATTTCAGAGATCTTGGTCAATGTTTGACACAAGGCAAGTATCTCTTATTTTAACTATACATACTTTGTTAAAAACATGTATCCACAATTGTTGGGAGTGGCGATGGTCCGAGCCTAATGATAACAGAAGTCCAAAATTTTATTTTGTTTTATATTTTAAAAATAGTATTTGTTGAACATATACCAAAATCAGATGTACTCACTCTTCAGTTTCTTCTTTACATCCATGTACCCTGTCTTCATTTTCTTCTTCATGGAGTCAACCTTGGTCAAAAATAACTCTCTCTGCCTAAATACGCTCCAGATCCTGCTCTTGCTCATCAACAAGAGCTTTAAGCTGATTCAGAGTCTCTCCAGTTTAAACACAATTTTTTTTTTTTTTTTTTTTTTTGAATAAAATGTTAAATTATATTCAAAAAGAAAAATAAACTTTTTACATCAGCTTTTTTTTACTCTTGAATTTAAATAGAAACAGAGATTTGAAAAAAAAAAAAAACAGAGAAAACAGAGATCAAAATTAAACCACAACTTTTCTCTCTCAAGCTACTTCAATTCATGGCTCACACAGACCAACGACCAAACCATCCACAATAAAGTACAAACATGTAAGTATGTCCTTAAAAAGGATCAAAGTATGTTACTCCTTACATTTTGATGGATCAACATAACAACAACAAAGTAAAGTTTTAATTTTTTGCCTTGAACTATCTATTAACTGAAGCTTAAGCTATGTTTTTCAACAAAACGAGCATGAGCTAACCTTTGACTATGCTCGTTTTACTGAAACAAATCTAATTTTATAAACCAAACAAAGAGCCAAGGATTTTATAACTGTAAATGAGAAAGTGGACAAGGTTGACCGTTGCGATCTGCAGAGAGATCAGTTAAGTATGAAAACCACATTACAACAACACATAATTAAACTTCTTTTAACTCAAAATACACATTTAGTGAAAAAAAATTTCAGACCAACCTGCAGATACTTCATGTCTCATATCTATAATTAAGAACATTCTTACATCATAGAGAAGATTCTTAGCCAAAAAGACAAACCCTTTTCACAAAATGCACCAAAACCTAACAAAAAGGAATCCTTGGCGCTTCCCGTCCCTTTTCTTCTCTCAGTTCCTCTGTTCAACAGTGTATGACGTTTATAGGTGTTGCCCTATAATCAACACTTAAAAACTCTTTTAACTCTCCAAGCATCTCTTTGGTTACACGCGAAGCAGGAACCTTATTCGAGAATCTGATCCTTTCCGACTTTGGGATCGTAAATATTGGTTCCGACCCTTCATCCTCGTTATAAGTATACTCCGTACATGCCCTGAACAACCTATTCCCAGTTCCATCATCATCATCATCATCATCATCATGAACGGATTCATACTCCAGCAGTTGGACCTTATAGTCCAAAGTGTCATCAAGAATTTCAACTGTCATAAAGACCAAACTCCAAGTCCTCAACATCAATGTGACTACTCCAGTATCTATATATCACCCAAACTTCACCAATCTTGGGGAGAATGGTATATTCAATGCCATCCAAGGAGGTTTGAGGAACTATCTGATGTGAAACCTCATTTGGGGTGATTATTTCTAGAACTTTTCTTGAGTAGAATGTTCCACAACCAACAGGCATTTGCCCGTCTTCCCAGTCGACAACATCCTTAGGGGAACGGGTAGCCTTTAGCCGACCAATGTGTAGTTTAATTACCGGGTCCTGCTTAAATGCATGAGTAAAAGTTATCTTCTGAATCCTACCATAGTAGAGAGGCAAATCATCATAACCACTGTAAAATGACCAAATCTGGCCAGTCTGAAAAACCTTCCCCTTGCTAACAAAGTAGGTGGCTTGGCGTTTAGGCTTTATATTACTCTCAGAGTTTGAAGGCACGATGATCTCTTCAATTGTTTCTGGTAATGCAGCTTTGTCCAGCTCGTAAGCATCTTTTGGCATACCTTTTCCTTCAATTTCAGTCAGTTTGAAGGAAGGAACCCTATGGGAGAACCGATACAAACTCTGAGGTAAAATACGAAATATGCCTTCATAACCAGTTCCCATTCGGAAGAACACACTAGCAAACCCTTTTGCTTTATGCAAGTATGCAACATATGCACCACCTTCATCAGAATAATCTGACAGAATCTCGACAAATTCATACTCATATTTGCGGTGAGAATCTGGCTCTGAAGACCACTTAATATCCCAGTTCTTGAAAAGCGCCCATGTCTCGCCTTTCCTAGGAGATACACTAAAATGACAAGTTTTGATGAAACGACAAGTGACGCTGAAACATAGAGTATTGCTTTGTTCATTGCAATGAATAACATGTGAAAATATTGAACGATCTTGTGTGCTCTTATTTTCCCCAAGCCTGAACATACCAACAGAAACAGGCAAGTCTTCTTCAAACCATTGGAGCTCTTTCTCACCATTTGGATCTGGCTCTAGATATGTAATCCTAAGCTCAAAACAGGGAGCTGAAACTTTTCTGATCTGAGCATACAATCTAGGCATCCCATCCACTGTATCATAAACAGCCCAGGTCTGCCCAACTTCAAAGTTTACTTCTTCCCTCAGCTTATCAAAGTCGTTAAATTTCAAACCAGCACATCCAAAAATGTTTTGTGGTACTGCACCTCCTGAACCTGAATCACATAAACCAGAGTTTTGATCCACTTCAAGATTTCCAGAGATCCCCACTGCAGCTCCCACTTGAGCATCTTGTTTCCTATCCATCTTCCGATTCGTGTTTATGGCATTTGACATTGGGTTTCTAGAACAATCAACCTCAGTGAGTTGCTTTCCGCTTCCAAACTCTTCCGCCGCATCTCCATTATCACTGAACACTCTTCTTTTCCTGTGTACAATCATGTCTTTACTTAAATTTACAACAGCATCTTCAGACTTGCTGCGATTCTCAGTATTGCAAATGTCGTCACACTCGTTCCACTGTCTCTTCTCACCAACCTTAACTGTACAATTACTCAAACCAAAAGAATATTCTTTTCCACTGAAATTTGTGCCGGGACTTTTAGTTGGGACATCTTTCTGTTGTAGCAAGGAGAAAGCTTGAGCTTTTTCCTGATGATTCGATACAACCAAATCACTCCTGATTTGATGATTCAAGACAGCTTTTTTCCTTCTTAGAAGCTCATTTACAGTGTCATCCATCGTGAAACAAATTAGAAACTCAAGAAGACAACTTTCTTCTCTAGAGTTCCTGCAAGTAGTTTATATAGTTAGAATCGATCTAAATCACAGCGGAAATAGTTAATAAAGGTCTAATTTTTGAAGTACCCAGAAGCATTTCAATCAAAGAAATTAATAAGAACCCTATTTCCTAAATCAACCTCCCTATATATTAATAAACTAAAATTCTACAATCGGCGGATATGCGAGAACACGTAAACGTATAAACCCTAGACTCAGATGCAACTACAAACAGTCGACGAACCAGTTCGATCAATAAACCTTACCCAACAGAGAGTGACAAAAAGAGAATCGGAATCTTCGGCGGCGGTGGAGAGACTTTCGCCGGGAAAGTGTTGAAATAAGAGGATTAAAGTTATTTTATTTACTACGACTAATGTAAATTAGTAAATCTTGATTTAACCTGGAAACCATTTTCCCGGTAAATGTTGGTTCATTGGCTATATATTTTGGCGGGAAACCAATCTAAAATTATTAATCAAACAAAGAGCCAAGTATTTGGAAAAAGAATTGAGTAGGGTTGAATCTGTAGTCTGCACTCTGCACTCTGCACTCTGCGGAGAGATTACTTTTAAGTCTGAAAAAGCAGAACAGCAAAAACCACATCACATTATAACTCAAACTACCAATAAGTGAGAGAAAATTACTACATACCAAGCTACAAATATTTGATGTTTTATATCACATATAAGAACATCATCATAAAAGAAAGTCATATTTCGTTTTCAAAAAAAAAAAAAAAGAGAAAGTCATAAGATTATTAATCAAACCCTACACCAAAAAATGTACCAAAAGCTAATTAGAAAAGAATCCTTGTCACTTCCCGTCTTTTCTTCTTTCAATTGCTCTGTTCAACAGTGTATAACGTTTATAGGTGTTGCCCTAAACTCAACACTTAAAAGGTCTTCCAACTCTCCGGACATCTCTTTCGTTACACGCGTAGCAGGAATCTTATTCGAGAATCTGATCCTTTCCGACTTTGGGATCGTAAATATTGGTTCCGACCCTTCATCCTCGTTATAAGTATACTCCGTACATGCCCTAAACAACCTATGTTCCATATCATTACGATCATCAGAAACGGGTTGTTGCTTCAGCAGTTGGACCTTATAATCCAGAGTGTCATCAAGAATTTCAACAATGTCATAAAGACCGAATTCCAAGCCATCCACATCAATGTAATGACTCCAGTATCTGTATATCGCCCAAACTTCACCAATTTTGGGGAGAATGGTATATTCAATGCCATCCATGGACGTTTGAGGCATTATCTGCTGTAAAAACCTCATTTAGAGTAATTATTTCTAGAACTTTTCTCGCGTAGAAAGTTCCACAACTAACAGGCATTCCCCCGTATTTCCAGTTGATAACATCTTCAGGGAAACGAGTAGCCTTTAGCCTACTTATGTGTAGTTTAATTACCGGATCCTGCTTAAATGCCTGAGTATAAGTGATCTTCTGAATCCTACCATAATACAGAGGCAAATCATCATAACCACTGTAAAATGACCAGATCTGGCCAGTTTGAAAGACCTTTCCCTCACTAGCAAAGTAGATGGCTTGGTGTTTAGACTTTTTTTTACTCTCAGAGTTTGAAGGCACAACAATCTCTTCGATTGTTTCTGGTAACGCAGCTTCATCCAGCTCATAAGCATCCTTTGGCACACCTTTTCCTTCAATTCCAGTCAGTTTGAAGGAAGGAACCCTATGGGAGAACCGATACAAACTGTGAGGTAAAATACGAAATATACCTTCATAAAAGGTTCCCATTCGGAAGAACACACTAGCAAACCCTTTTGCTTTGTGCAAGTATGCAACATATACACCACCTTCATCAGAGTAATCTGACAGAATCTCGACAATTTCGTACTCAAATTTGCGGTGAGAATCTGGCTCTGAAGACCACTTAATATCCCAATTCTTGAAAAGCGCCCATGTCTCGCCTTGTCTAGGGGAAACACTAAAATGACAAGTGTTGATGAAACGACAAGTGATGCTGAAACAACGAGTGTTGCTTCGTTCACTGCAATGAATAACATGAGAATATGGAACGATCTTTTGTGTTCTGATTTTCCCCAAGCCTGAACTTACCAACAGAAACAGGCAAGTCTTCTTCAAACCATAGTTTCTCTTTTTCATTACCTGGATCTGGCTCTAGATATGTGATCCTAAGACCAAAACAAGGAGCTGAAACTTTTATGATCCGAGCATACAATCTAGGCATCCCATCCACTGTATCATAAATAGCCCAGGTCTGACCAACCGCAAAGTTTGCTTCTTCCCTCAGCTTTTCAAAGTCGTTGAACTTTGGACCAACGGATTCAGAAATCTTTGGTTGTACTGCAACTTCTAAACTTGTATGACAAAAACCAGAGTTATAATCTACCTCAAGATTCTGAGAGATCCCTGTAGCAGCTCCCAGTTGAGCATTCCTGTTAATGGCATTTGGCAAAGTGTCTTTGCAAAGATGAACCTCATGGAGTTGCTTTTCACTTGCAGGCTCATCTCCTGCACCTCCAAAATCATCTGCCACTATTCTATTGCCAATTTTACTTAGATTTACAATAGCATCTTCAGACTTACTGCCAATATCAGTACAAACAATTTCACCATAATCATTCCTCTTTCTCTTCTCACCAACCTTATCAGCACAGCTCAAACCAGGGGAGATTTAATTTCCAGAGAAATGTATGTCTGGATTCTTACTTGGGACTGTTATCTGTTGTTGCAAGGAGAAAGCTTGAGCCTTTTCTTGCTGATTCCTTGGTGTGGCTGCAACCAAATCACTCCTAATCTGATGGTTTTGGACAGCATTTTGCCTTCTAAGAGACTCATATACAGTGATATCCATCATCAAACAAAGTAAAAATCGAGAAGACAAATTCCACCTTTATGGGTTCCTAGAGAAAATACAGCTTCTGGTTACAATTGGTCTAAAACAGAGACGAAAATACAAACACCAAATAGACAAAAGATATGTGTTAAAAGCATTTGAAATCTAAATAAAGTAATAAGAACCCTAAATCAACCACCATGTACAATAAGAAACCACAATGGGCGAAAACCCTAGAAAATCAACTGCAGCACAGAGACGACATCAAGCAAAAAATACAATCGACGAATCGGTTCAATCAAATTACCAATTAATGGTGGCGACAAAATGAAATCGCAGTCGTCCGCGGCGGAGGCTTTTGTCGGGCTAAGTAGTGAAAGTGGCCTCCGGATAAAAGTAATTATTACATTCAGTGTTAATTATTTCTCGATTTAAGAAAAGAAATCTAAAATTCTGTTCGCGGTAATTAAAGTTAAATTTTTTGGCGGGAAACTAATGTAAAATTCTCAACATGGCTGCCTCTCTCAGACCAAAAGACCAACCATCTACAGTAACGTACAAACCTAAAAGGATGTCCTTGAAAGTGTTGTATCTCCATAAATTTAGAGAAACCTTTAGACAGAGGTTATTATAAACCTTTAGAGAAACCTTTAGACAGAGGTTATTAGTATAAAATATGGAGTAAGTATCAGGTGTTAATCTTAAACCAGCAACAAACGAGTTTTGACTTAAAAAGACCAAAAAGCTAGCATAAAAAGGAATCATTTGCTCATCGTCAAAATATATTTTATAAATCAAACAAAGTGCCAAGGATTTTATATTTGTAAATGAGAAATTGGACAAGGTTGACCATTGCGATCTGCAGAGAGATAGATCACTTAAGTATGGAAACCACATCATATTACAGCAACAAATAGTTCAACTTCTTTTAACACAAAATACACATTTAGTGAAAAGAAATTTTCAGACCAACCTGCTTGTTCATATCCATAGAATAAGAAGAACATTCTAACATCATAGAGAACGTCTTAACGATTCTTAGCCAAAAAGACAAACCCTTTTCAGAAAATACACCAGAAGCTAACAAAAAGGAAACCTTGGCTTCTTGCCTCTTTTCTTCTCTCGGCTCCTCTGTTTCACCTGTGTTTAACGTTAAAAGGTGTTGCCCTATAATCAACACTTAAAAACTCTTTTAACTCTCCGTCCATCTCTTTGGTTACACGAGAAGCAGATACCTTATGCGAGAAACTGATGATCCTTTCCGACTTTGGGATCGTTAATATTGTTTCTGACTTGTCATCCTCGTTATAAGTATACTCCTTACCTGCCCTAAATAACATATATTCAAAGTTATCACGATCACCATCAACGGCTTGTTGCTTCAGCAGTTGAACCTTATAGTCAGAAGTGTCATCAAGAATTTCGACAATGTCATAAACTTCATTTTCCAAGTCCTCAATATCAGTGTGACTACTCCAGTATCTATATATCACCCAAACTTCACCAATCTTGGGGAGGATGGTATATTCAATGCCATCCAAGGAGGTTTGAGGAATTATCTGATGTGAAACCTCATCTGGAGTGATTATTTCTAGAAGTTTCCTTGCGTAGAATGTTCCACAACCAATAGGCATTCTCCTGTCTTCATACCGGATAAGAGGCATTCTCCTGTCTTCATACTGGATAACATACTCAGGGAAACGAGTAGCCTTTAGCCGACGTATGTGTAGTTTACATACAGGATCCTGCATAAATGCCTGAGTAAAAGTGATCTTCTGAATCCTACAGTAGTACAGAGGCAAGTCATCATTACCACTGTAATATGACCAAATCTGGCCAGTCTGAAAAACCTTCCCCTTGCTAGCAAAGTAGATGGCTTGGCGTTTAGGCGTTAAATCACTCTCAGCGTTTGAAGGCACGATGATCTCTTCTATTGTTTCTGGTAACGCAGCTTGGTCCAGCTCGTAAGCATCTTTTGGCACACCTTTTCCTTCAATTCCAGTCAATTTGAAGGAAGGAACCCTATGGGAGAACCGATACAAACTCTGAGGTAAAATACGAAATATGCCTTCATAACCAGTTCCCATTCGAAAGAACACACTAGCAAACCCTTTTGCTTTATGCAAGTATGCAACATATACACCAGCTTCATCAGCGTAATCTGACAGAACCTCGACAATATCATACTCATATTTGCGGTGAGAATCTGGCTCTGAAGACCAATTAATATCCCAGTTCTTGAAAAGCGCCCATGTCTCGCCTTTTCTAGGGGATACACTAAAATGACAAGTGTTGATGAAACGACAAGTGAATCTGAAACAACGAGTGTTGCTTCGTTCATTCAACTCGTTGTTTCGTTCATTGCAATGAATAACATGTGAAAACATGGAACGATCTTTTGTGCTCTTATTTTCCCCAAGCCTGAACTTACCAACAGAAACAGGCAAGTCTTCTTCAAACCATTGGAGCTCTTTCTCATCATCTGGATCTGGCTCTATATATGTGATCCTAAGCCCAAAGGAAGGAGCTGAAACTTTCCTGATATGAGCATACAATCTAGGCAACCCATCTGCTGTATCATAAAGAGCCCAGGTCTGACCAACTGCAAAGTTTACTTCTTCCCTCAGCTTTTCAAAGTCGTTAAACTTTGGACCAGCACATACAGAAGTCTTTGGTTGTACTGCAACTTGAGAACTTATATCAGCAAAACCAGAGTAATCATCTGCCTCAAGATTATGAGAGATCCCCATTGCAGCTCCCACTTGAGCATTTCTGTTAATGGCATCTTGCAATGTTTCTTTGCAAAGACGAACCTCATGGAGTTGCTTTCCACTTCCAGAGTCTTGTACTGCATCTCCAATATCACCTGACACTCTTTTATTGCCTAGATTTACAATAACATCTTCAGAATTACTGCGATGTTCAGTGTAAACAATTTCATCGTACTCATTCCTCTTTCTCTTATCACCAACCTTACCAGCAGGGCTCAAACCAGGGGAGCATTCGTTTCCAGAGAAGTGTATGCCTTGATTCTTACTTGGGACTGTTATCTGTTGTTGCAAGGAGAAAGCTTGAGCCTTTTCTTGCTGATTCCCAGGTGTGGATGCAACCAAATCACTCCTAATCGAATGGATCTGGACAGCATTTTCCATCATCAAACAAGTAAACAGTCGAGAAGACAAATTCCACCTCTATGGGTTCCTGCAGAAAATGAGAATATGCAGTTTCTGGTTGGAATCGGTCTAAAAAGAGACACAAAAATACAAACCCCTAATAGACAACAGATGTGTATTTGCAGAAAAATCACGCAGAAGAAAAAAGATAAAAGCATTTCAAGTCTAAAGAATGTAATAAGAACCCTAAATCAACTTCCCTTATACCAAATAGAAAACACCTAACCCTAAATTCAGAGACGACATCAAGCAAAAAAATACAATCGACGAATTGGTTCGGTTCCATCAACTTACCAACAATAGCGACAGAAGCAAATCGTCGTCGGCGGCGGAGACTTTTGCGGGGGTAGTGACAGTGAGCGTATAGAGTAAAATATATTCAGTGTTATTTCTCTCGATTTAAGAAAAACTATATAATTCTTTTGGCGGTAAAAAACTTCATTAACAATATATTCGGCGGGAATTAAATGTAAAATTATAAACTAAACAAAAAGGCAGATATGTGATAGAACAACAACATCACATTACAACAAATCTACGACATAGTTAACTTACAAATTAGAAAACACATTTAGAAAGAGAGAAATTCAGACCAAGCTGCAAATACTTGCTAATTGCTATTATTTCACATCATAGATAAATAAAAACACACTTGCATCAAAATGCACCAAAAGCTAACAAAAAGGAATCCTTGGCTTCCCTCACTTTCTTTGTTCAATCAAAATCAAAGTCTCAAGTGTTCTGCAGGTTAACAGGTAGTGCTGCTGAAACAACTTTTATAAGGTCTTTTAACTCTCCGTATATCTCTTTGGTAACACGGGAGGCCGGAACCTTATGCGACAATCTGAGCCTTTCCGATTTTGGGATCGTAAATATTGGTTCCGGCCCATCAATCAGGTTAGACTTATACTCCTTAACTGCCTGAAAATGCAGTTTTTCTGGAAGATGCAGAATATCAACAACTTTATCGGAATTGGGCTCATGCTCCAGCAGTAAGAGCATCCGCAGTGGAGCAAGCTGAAGGGTGTTAGAGGTAATAAAAAAAGAAGAAAATTGTCTCTCTCCTCACACCCGGGTGTAACTTTATACTCAGGTGTAACACACACTCTCCCTCTTTCTTTTTCTCTCTCTTTTCTATCTCTCTTTAAATTATAATAATAATAAAAAGTTTACACCCACTTTCACACTTTCTCCACTGCCCATGGTCTAAGACCTTATAGTCCAAGGTATGATCAATAACTTCAACAATGTCATAGCTCAATAAACCAACGTTCTCAGAATTCCAAGTATTGATACCAGTATCTGTATATCACCCAAACATTCCCAAGTATTGATACTCAGTTCCATCCATGGAGGTTTGAGACACTATCTGCTGTGAAACATCATCTGGAGTGATTTCTAGGAGAGCTTATATTATAGATACAACAAACTTATCGGAGACATATATCGTAAATCTATATGTGATCCTGGAAAAATCGATTTTGTAATACATTGAAACTTCAAATGTTGCATGTAGATAGATTTTTCTGTTATAGAAGATAAAATCATCATTCAGATACTACTACTTCATATATAGAGAAATACCAACGGATCAAGTGACTAGTAACTACTAAAAATGGAGAAAGTTCAGTCCATTTCTCATCCTAATACATAACCACTGGTTACCCTCTTGACCAACAAAAGAAAGCAAAAAACAAGTATTCTCCTACCTTTTCAAAATACATGATTTTCCACAGATTTCGAACCAACAAAAGAAGCACATGCTTTTTAAATCCATGGAGAAAGTCTAAATAAGGTTCAGGTCTTACATCTTAAACCAAAGAACAAACCTTTTGACAAAATGCACCAAAAGCTAACAAAAAGGAATCCTTCACTCACTTTCCTCTTCGGCCATTGAAGGTAATGCTTTAGAATCAAGAACTTCAAAAAGCTCTTTCAAATCTCCGTCTATCTCCTTGGTTACTCGGGAAACAGGAATCTTATGTGAGAATTTGCGGTTTTTCGACTTAGGGATTGTAAATACCACTTCTGACTCATTCTCCAAATCATGTTGCCTGCGCTCAGCTGCTCGCAAGAATTTTGTTTTTCCTTCATCTTCATTAACAAACAACGCAGGCTCCAACGCTAAAACCTTATAGTCCAAGGCGTCATCAAGGACTTCGACAATTTCATAATCATACCATCTTTCCAAGTCCTCATCAGTGTGATGAGACAAGATTGTGTATATGGCCCAAACATCGCCAATCTTGGGATGAATGGTATATTTATTTCCATCCATGACGGTTTGAGGCACTATCTGATATGAAACATCATCAGGATCGATGACTTTGGTACCTTTCCCAACCAAGAAAGTTCCACAACTAATAGGCATTCTCTTGCAGAAAGGAACAGGCTTTAACCGAGTTACGTGTAGTTTAAATACTGTTGCCTGCCCGAATGACTGACTAAAAGTGATCTTTTTAATCCTACCATAGTACACAGGTAAGTTCCAATTATTACTGTAATATGACCAGATCTGGCCAGTTTGAAAAACCTTTCCCTTACAAAGAAAGCAGAGAACTTCTGGTTTAGACTTCAAAGCGGTAGGCACTGCTAATACTTCTGGAGGGACTATTATCTCTTTGATAGGTTTAGGTAATACAGCTTCTGGTTTAGGCTTCAAAGCGGCAAGCACTCTTAATAGATGTGAAGGGACGATTGACTCTTTGATAGTTTCAGGTAATGCAGCTTGGTCCAGCTCGTAAGCATATTTTCCTCCCATTTCAGTGAGTTTGAAGGAAGGAATCCTGTGGGAGAACCGATATAAACCGTCAGGCGGAATCCGAGATATGTGTGCATCACCAGTTCCCATCCGAAAGAAGACACTTGCAAACCCTTTTGCTTTATGCAAAAACGCAACAGATACACCAGCTCCATCAGTGTAATTTGACAAAATCTCAACAAAGTCATACTCAAATTTGCGGTGAGAATCTGGCTCTGAAGACCAGTTAATGTCCCAGTTCTTGAACAGAGCCCAAGTCTCGCCTTTTAATGGGGAAACAATGAAATGACCTTTCTTGCTTACTTCATTGTAAATTTCTCCGCAGCAGATTACATGAGAGAATATGGAACGATCTTTTGTGTTCTGATTTTTCCCAAACCTGAACTTACCAACAGAAACAGGCAAGCCTTCGTCAAACCATAGTATTTCTTTCTCATGATCTGGTTCCGGTTCTAGATACGTAATCCTAAGCCCAAAGGAAGGAGCTGAAAGTTTCGTGATCCGAGCATACAATCTAGGCATCCCATCTGCTGTATCATAAATAGCCCAGGTCTGACCAAGTGCAAAGTAAACTTCTTCCCTCAGCTCATCAAAGTCGTTAAACTTTGGACCAACACCACATTCAGAAATCTTTGGTTGTGCCGCAGAATCTTCTCCCCTGCCTGCATATCCATTATCACTAGACCCTCTTGTATTGTTAGGTAAAGCACCGCGATTACTAGCATTGCAACTGTCACCATACTCGTTCCTCTTTCTCTTATCGCCAACAATCACAGAACAACATGTAGAAAATGTTGAAGAACCGTCAGAAGAAGTAGTATCCATCATCAAACAAAGAAACAATAACCTGCAGAAAAAACAATTATATATATGCACATCAAGATACTTTAACATTGGTAAGATAAGATAATACACTAAAATCACGCAGGTTAAAGTTTTTAAAAAGGAGCTTAATTTTCAATTGCCCAAAAACAGTGTAGAAAGTGTGAAGCTTTTCAAACCAGAAGAACGTAATAAGAACCCTAAATTAAGCATCTTTGTATTTATGTAACCCAAACCTCACGATTGGAGAATATGCAAAAACACCTAAACCCTAGATTCGGATGGGACTTAGAGATGCATAAATTAAGAAAAACAAAACATACCGATTCGATAAATTTACGCAACCAAAGCAAACCTCAGTCGTAGTAGTCGGCGGAAGCTTTTGCCGGAAAAGAGAGAAGTGGATTTAGTAGAGAAGCATCGTTGTGTATCTCTCCAAAGAAAATATCCCACTTTTCCCGAGATTTTTCCATTTGGCGGGAAAATTAATTAGCCCAATTAATTTCCTGATCATAAATTCTAATATATTAATTAGGTCAAGAATTCTAATGTTTTTAGTTTTTAAAAAAAAAAGTAAATTCCCCTACGAATATTATACAATTAGGGTAATATAATTTTAAAACTTTTCTTAATTATACACAAGAAGTTGGGGGTTTATAATTTTTGAATTTTTCTAATACAAATTTACTTATAATTGATAAAATAATTTGAGACAGCCTGGTATTTAGGCCATGGATTAAGGTTTGATTATGAGAGAACATATGCACCAAAAGTCTAAAGACCATATGTTTATCATTTACTTGTGAAATAAAGGATGTATTTTACATGATGATTAGTAAGAGATAGCATGGTGTGTGAAACTTTTTGGGCAATTATAGTCGATGTTGGAGAAAGTTTGAACTGATGTGAAGCTGATGTGAAGAGATGAACTGTTTCAAAGTTTGAACTGATGCTAAGTTTGAACTGATGTGAAGCTGTAAACGGCTGAAATCACCTAAAGGCCACATGCTCTTGAGATTACTACTTTAGCTTAATCGCACATATATGCAAGTGAGTTTTAAACCATAAGATACTGCTACTTCATAACTTCAGTACTACTAACAGATCAAGTAAACATGGAGAAAGTTCAGTAAATTTATCATCCTAATCTACACCGCTGGTTATCCTTTTGACAAGAAAAGAGATGCAAAAGCTAGTATTCTCCAACCTTCTCAAAATACAATGACTTTCCATAGATTTGAACCAATAAAAAGAACCACATGTTTCTAAACCATGGAGAAAGTCTAAATAAGTTTCAGATCTTACATCTTAAACCAAAGAACAAACCTTTTGACAAAATGCACCAAAAAGGAATCCTTCTCTACCCTTCCCTCACTTCCCCTTTGCTCAGTGGTCTTGAAACCCTCACGTTTGTAGGTAATGCTCTAGAATCAACTTCAAAAAGCTCTCTCAACTCTCTGTCTATCTTCTTGGTTACACGGGAAGCAGGAATCTGATGCGAGAATCTGAGCATTTTCGACATGGGGATTGTGAATATCACTTCTGACCCATCCTCATCATCACAATCAGGATGCCTACTCTCAGCTGCTCTGAAGAATGTCTTTTTTTCTTCCTCTTCATTAGAAAACAACGCGGGCTCCAATGCTAAAACCTTATAGTCCGAAGTGTCATCAAGAACTTCGACAATGTCATAGGTGCAGGAACCAATGTCCTTGAACTCATTGTGACAAGTCCAGGATCTGTAAATGGCCCAAACATCCCCAATCTTGGGCAGAATGGTATATTCATTTCCACCCATGGAGGTCTGAGGCACAATCTGAAGTGAAACATTATCTGTAGTGAATTTTCTGAAACATTTAGTCACGGAGAAAGTTCCACAACCAACAGGCATATTCTTGTCCTCCCACTGAATGACATTCTCAGGGAAAGGATTAGCCTTTAACAGATGTACACACATTTTGATTTCTGCTTCTTCCTCGAACACTTGAGTAACGGTGATCTTATGAATCCTACCGTAGTAGAGAGGCAAGTCATCGTTGCCACTGTAGAATGACCAGATCTGTCCAGTTTGAAAGAGCTTCCCTTTACTAGTATTGGAACTTTCACCATTCTCGTTACCCTTTCTAGTCACAGAACAACTCAAATCAGGAGAGAGAAAATTACCAATACTAGATGAAGAAAATGTTGTAGCACCGTCAGAAGAAGAGACATTCATCGTCAAACAAAGAACTGATACAGACTTAAGAAGGCAACTTCCTCTTGTAAGGTTCCTGCAGAAGATACAAATACATAAATTGCCATCAAGATAATTTTTCAGTGGTAAGATAATAGACATGGAGACTTAAATCTATGTTTGTGTAAGATGAATAAGACCACGCAGATCAAAGTTCGAAAAGGGGCTAGCTAAACACACACAAAAATATGAAGTATCTCAAATTAGAAGAAAGTACAATGAGAACCCTAAAACAAGCGTCTTTGTATATATGAAACCCAAATCTCACCTAGACCCTAGATTGAGCAATACATTGGGGGAAATATGCGGTAATCATTAAACCCTAGATTCTGATGCAGATACAGAAATTAGGCAGCGAAAGCAAACCTCAGTCGTCGGAAACTTTAGCCGGAGAAGGGAGAGAAGTATCTAAAGAAAATATCTCACAGAACCATCATCATTGCATGCATTGAAGACGAATATACTAAGCACATTGGTTGAAGAAAATCTCGGCGCTCGATGAAGTTTGTGCTCTCAAACCTCATTTCAGCTACAATTACTTTTCTCTCTCTCTCTTTATCTATAAACCCCAAAGCATCTTCCTGTTACTTATTATTTCCATAGGTTACAATATTATTAATTCACTCATTCCACATACGTATATACTTTGACAAATCACAAACCACATGGACTAATTCAGTAAACTTGGAGAACCACTAGTAACCTTTTTGACCAACAAGAGTGACAAAAACTAAGTCCACAAAATACATGATTTTCCATAGATTCGAGCCGACAAAAGAAGAACATGGAGAAAGTCTTAAGTAAGTTTTGATGTTATAAAACACAGGCACATATACTAAAACAGAGACAAATTACTAGTGTTTAATCAAGTTTCAGGTCTCAGATCTTAAACCAAAGAACAAACATTTGCTCAAGGGTCTTCAAACCCTCACGTCTTCTTCTTTTTTCGGGGAAACAAACCCTCACTTCTAAGGTATGAAGAGAAGATCATTGAAGTAATAGCTCTAGTATCAACTTCAAAAAGCTCTTTCAAATCTCCATCTATCACCTTGGTTACTCGGGAAGCATGAAGCTGATGCGAGAATTTGAGCCTTTTCGACTTTCGGATCGTAAATACCACTTCGCAGTCACTACTCTCAGCTGCTCTAAAGAATGTTTTTTCATCATCTTCATTAGAGACCGACACAGGCTCCAACTCTAAAACCTTGTAGTCCAAGGTGTCATCAAGAACTTCCACAACGTCATAGTCATACCATCTTTCCAAGCCATCAACTTCAAAGTGAGGAGACCAGGATCTGTATATGGCCCAAAGATCGCCAATCTTGGGAAGAATGGTATATTCCTTTCCATCCATGGAGGTTTGAGGCACTATCTGATGTGAAACCTCATAAGGCGTGAGTCTTTCGATACCTTTCATCACCAAGAAAGTTCCACAACCAACAGGCATTCTATTGTCATCCCACTTGACGACATCCTCAGGGAAAGGAGTGGCCTTTAACCGACTTATGTGTAGTGTACATACTGCATCCTGCTCGAATGCCTGAGTTAAAGTGATCTTTTCAATTCTACCGTAGTACCGAGGGAAGCGTTTGTATAGCCTATAATAAGACCAAATCTGCCCAGTTTTAAAAACCTTTCCCTTATTAGCAAAGCAGAGAGCTTCTGGTTTAGACTTCAAAGCGGTACGCACTGCTAATAGATAAAAAGGGACAATTATCTCTTTGATAGTTTCAGGTAATACAACTTGGTCCAGCTCGTATGCGTCTTTTGGCAAACCTTTTCCTTCAATTCCAGTCAGTTTGAAGGAAGGAATCCTGTGGGAGAACCGATATAAACCATGAGGCGGAATTCGAGATATTTCTGCATCACCAGTTCCCATCCGAAAGAAGACACTTGCAAACCCTTTTGCTTTATGCAAGAATGCAAGAGATACACCAGTTCCATCAGCGTAATCTGACAAAATCTCAACAAACTCATACTCAAATTTGCGGTGAGAATCTGGCTCTGAAGACCAGTTAATGTCCCAGTTCTTGAACAGAGCCCACGTCTCACCTTTTCTTGGGAAAACAGTGAGACGACTTGTGTTGCTTCCTTCATTGCATTGGATAAGATGAGAGAATCTGGAACGATCTTTCGTGTTCTGACTTTGGCCAAGCCTGAACTTACCAACAGAAACAGGCAAGTCTTCTTCAAACCACTGGAGCTCTTTCTCATCATCAGGATCTGGCTCTAGATATGTGATCCTAAGCCCGAAAGAAGGAGCTGAAACTTTTCTGATCTGAGCATACAATCTAGGCATCCCATCTGTTGTATCATAAAGAGCCCAGGTCTGGCCAACCGCAAAGTTAACTTCTTCCCTCAGATTACCAAAGTCATTAAACTTGGGACCAACAAATTCAGAAATCTTTGGTTGTATTTGTACCGACTCTTCTCCCCTTTCTGTATCTCCATCATCATTTGACCCTCTTCTATTGGTATGTACAACACCGCGATTTCCAGTATTACTACTTCCACCATATTCGTTCATCTTTCTCTTCTCACCAACAATCACAGCACAAGCTGAAGAAAATGGTATATCACCGTCAGAAGAAGTTCCTTTCATCAAAGTCTCTGAATCAGCTTTCCTTCTAGGAAGCTCGTTTGAAGTGGTATCCATCATCAAACAAAAAGAACAATAAGCTCTCAAGAAAACAAACTTACTCCTATAGGGATCCTGCAGAAAATACAATTATATACATGGCCATCGGATACTTTAACATTGATAAGATAATAATAATACACACAGAAACAGACGCAGATAAAAATTAGGAATTGGACAAATATAATTCTATATTACGCAAATATAAGTTCAAAAAGGGCTAAACTTTGAAGCGCTAAAATCACAAAAGTGTCGAAAGTGTGAAGCATCTCAAACCAGAAGAAAGTAATAAGAACCCTAAACGGCTAAACTAAACACTCTTTGAATTTCTGAAACCCTGGGAAATTAAAAAAAAAAATGCGAGAACACCTAAACCCTAGATTCTTATGCGACATAGAGATACATAAATTAACAATCAACTAACCGAATAGCTCAGTTTACGCAACCCAAGCAAACCGCAGTCGGAGGCGGTGGAGGCTTTTGCCGGAAAAGGGGGAGACGATAAATAGGCTAGTGGGTTTAGTAGTTAAGTGAAAATATCACACTTTTCCCGACAAGAGTATCAATTTGTTTGGCGGGAAAATGATTTAGCCATATGGTGCTAATTATTTTGTTTACCGGAACCAAAGAACCAAACTGAACCGAATTGACCCAAAAAAAGAGACATATGACGGATTTGTTTTAATTGACCCAAAAGCTTTTTACAAAAATTTAAGCTCAATTTGTCAAAGGGTCATTTGACGAATCAAGCAAAAAAACTTGATGGGATTTTTGTTAAGTTAGTAAACAAAAAATCATGTCAAAACACATTATTATTAACAGTAGAGGTCTGAGTGATTTGTATGATCCAAAGGCCGACCACCAACCACATGGGGATGGGGTTATATAACTTGAGAACTTATGGCCGAAGCCGTGAGCTGCTGCCTGAGATACACTCCACATGCTCTTCAGATTACTTAGGTTTGTTTTCTGTAGTAGGAAGGAGAAACCTTGAGCTTTTTCTTGTTGATTCTTGGGCGTCGATGCAACCAAGTGCCCACCAAAATATGTAAGAAATAGTTTAACTACTTATAACTAAAAAATCACATATAAATTAGTGAGATAGAATTTCAGACCAAGCTGCAAATACCTGCTGTTTCATATCCATAGAATAAGAAGAACATTCTTACACCAATAGAGAAAGTCTTAATGATTCTTAAACCTGGCAAAATGCACCAAATGGTGTGGAAACCTCATGTAATCAGGTAAAGCTAACAAAAAGGAATCATTGGCTTCCCTCGCTTTCTTTGCTCAATGATATGAAGACCTCCCCATCCCTAGAACGTAAAATGGAACCATATCCCAAACCGTTTGATCAGGACATATGATCAGGTAATGCTTTTGATTCAACTTCTATAAGGTCTTTTATCTCTCCTCCGTATATCTGTTTGGTTACGCGGAAAGCAGGAACCTTATGCGAGAATCTGAGCCTTTCCGACTTTGTGATAGTAAATATTGGTTCCGAACCATCAATTTCATTATGCTTATACTCCGTGACTTCTATAAAGAACTTTTTTTTCTTTCTGAGTAAACGGGAGAGCAACTTATCATCTTCATCTTCATCTTCATCTTCATATTCATCAGGACCGTGGTGGCGCTCCAGCAGTTGGACCTTATAGTCCAATGTGTCATCAAGAATTTCAACAATATCATAGCTGCATAAACCAACCTTGTCGAATTCCCTGTATTCACTCCAGAATCTGTATATCACCCAAACTTCCCCAATCTTAGGCAGAATGGTATATTCATTTCCATCCATGGAGATTTGAGGCACTATCTGTTGTGAAACATCATCTGGACTGATTATTTCGAGAGCTTTTCTAGCGTAGAAAGTTCCACAACCAACAGGCATCTTCTTGTCTTCATACTCGATCACATCCAAAGGAAAACGAGTAGCCTTTAAAGGACTTACATGTAATTTATATACTGCCTTCTGCTCGTGTACCTGAGTAAAAGTGATCTTCTGAATCCTACCGTAGTACAGAGGAAACTCTTGATAAAGACCGCAAAATGACCAAATCTGGCCAATTTGAAAAACCTTCCCCTTCCTAGCAAAGTAGATGGCTTGACGTTTAGACTTTAAATCACTCTCAGAGTTTGACGGCACGATGATCTCTTCGATTGATTCTGGTAACGCAGCTTGGTCCAGCTCGTAAGCATCTTTTGGCACACCTTTTCCTTCAATTCCAGTCAGTTTGAAGGAAGGAACCCTATGGGAGAACCGATACAAACTGTGAGGTAAAATACGAAATATACCTTCATAACCAGTTCCCATTCGGAAGAACACACTAGCAAATCCTTTTGCTTTATGCAAGTATGCAACATATACACCAGCTTCATCCGCGTAATCTGACAGAATCTCGACAAATTCATACTCAAATTTGCGGTGAGAATCTGGCTCTGAAGACCACTTAATATCCCAGTTCTTGAAAAGCGCCCAAGTCTCGTCTTTTCTAGGGGATACACTAAAATGACAAGTGTTGATGAAACGACAAGTGACGCTGAAACAAAGAGTGTTGCTTCGTTCACTGCAATGAATAACATGTGAAAATATTGACCGATCTTGTGTGCTCTTATTTTCCCCAAGCCTGAACATACCAACAGAAACAGGCAAGTCTTCTTCAAACCATTGGAGCTCTTTCTCACCATTTGGATCTGGCTCTAGATATGTAATCCTAAGACCAAAACAAGGAGCTGAAACTTTCCTGATCTGAGCATACAATCTAGGCATCCCAGTTGTATCATAAAGAGCCCAGGTCTGACCAACCGCAAAGTTTACTTCTTCCCTCAGCTTACCAAAGTCGTTAAACTTTGGACCAACAGATTCAGAAATCTTTGGTTGTATTTGTACCGACTCTTCTCCCCTTTCTGTATCTCCATTATCATTAGATCCTCTTCTATTGTTACTTACAGGACCGTGATTTCTATCATTGCAACTATCACCATACTGGTTCCTCTTTCTCTTCTCGCCAACACACACAGCACAAGCTGATGATAATGTTGCAGCACCGTCAGAAGAAGTCCCTGTCATCAAAGTCTCTGAAACAGCTTTCCTTCTAAAAAGCTCGTTTGAACAGGTATCCCCTAGAGACAATATCAAAGGTTAATATTGGTAAGATCATACACATAGAGACAAAACGTAAATCTATGTATTGAACAAGCATATAATTCGAAAATCACATAGATCAAAGGTTATAAAGGAGCTAAATTTGCAAGTGCCCGAAAGACAAAGTGTAGAAAGAAAGTGTGAAGCTTCTCAAATTAGAAGAAAGTAATCAGAACTCTAAATTAAGCCTCTTTGGTATTTATGTAACCCACAATTCACGATTGGGGAAAATGCGAGAACACCTAAACCCTAGATTCGGATGCGACTTAGAGATACATAAATTAACAAAAACAAAACATATAGATACGCAATCAACGAACCGATTCGATCAATTTAGGCAACCGGAAGAAACCTCAGTCTTCGTCGGCGGAAGCTTTTACCGGAAAAGAGAGAAGTGGTGAATCGTGGTCGTGATGTGACTTAAATAGTCCAATTTGGCGGGAAAATGATATAGCCCTCTATTTATCAATTTTTCTGATTATAAAAATGATTTCCAATGTATTTTTCTATAGATGCTATTTCTTTTTTGAAGCTTTTGGGCAATTTTAGTCGATGTTGGATCATTTTATGAGAAAGTTTTGAATTTTCAAGTTATTATTACTAGCTTTTAGTTTTGTACTGATGTGAAGCTGTGAACGGCTGAAACCATGAAACAATGCACATGCTCTTGAGATTACTTTAGTTCAAACGCAGATACTGCTACACCATTAGCCAACGGATTAAATGGCTAATAAACATGGAGAAAGTTCAGCACCATTTCTCATCCTAATCTAAACTACTGGTGTTACCCTTTTGAACCCAAAAAAATATGAGAGCAAAAGCTAGAATTCTCCTACCTTCTCAAAATACATGATTTTCCATAGATTTCGAACCAACAAAAGAAGCACATGCTTAAACCAAAGAAACAAACATTTCCCTTCCCTTCCCTCACCAAAAGTTAACAAAAAGAAATCCATCTCTACCCTTCCCTCACTTTCCTCCCTTTGCTCAATGGTCTTTTAACCTCACGTTTGTAGGTAATGCTTTAGGATCAACTTCATAAAACTCTTTCTTATCTCCATCTATCTCCTTGGTTACTCGGGAAGCAGGAATCTGATGCGAGAATCTTAGCATTTTTGACTTGGGGATTGTAAATATCACTTCTGACCCATCCTCATTGTCACAATCAGGATGCCTACTCTCAGCTGCTCTGAAGAATGTATTTATATCTTCCTCTTCATTAGAAAACATCGCGGCCTCCAATGCTAAAACCTTATAGTCCACAGTGTCATCAAGAACTTCGACAATGTCATAGCTGCAGGAACCAATGTCCTTGAACTCCTTGTGACAAGTCCAGAATCTGTATATGGCCCAAACATCCCCAATCTTGGGAAGAATGGTATAATCATTTCCATCCATGGAGGTTTGAGACACTATCTGATGTAAAACATCATCTGGAGTGAGTACTTCGAAACATTTCCTCACCGAGAAAGTTCCACAGCCAACAGGCATTCTCTTGTCCTCCCACTGAATGACATTCTCAGGGAAAGGATTAGTCTTTAACCGACTTACAGATAGTTTAAATTCTGCTTCCTGCTCGAATGCCTGAGTTAAAGTGATCCTTTGTATCCTACAGTAGTATAGAGGCAAGTTAACGTTACCATAGTAAAATGACCAGATCTGGCCAGTTTGGAAAACCTTTCCATCACGAGGAAAGTAGAGAGCTTCTGGTTTAGGCTCTGCTAATAGATGTGGAGGGACAATTATCTCATCGATTGTTTCAGGTAATAGAGCTTGGTCCAGCTCGTAAGCATCTTTTGGCATACCTTTTCCTGCAATTCCAGTCAGGTTGAAGGAAGGAATCCTATGGGAGAACCGATATAAACTGTGAGGTAGAATCTGCGATATGTCTGCATTACTAGTTCCCAATCGAAAGAACACACTTGCAAAGCCTTTTGCTTTACGCAAGAACGCAACAGATACACCAGCTCCATCAGCGTAATCTGACAAAATTTCGACAAATTCATACTCAGATTTGCGGTGAGAATCTGGCTCTGAAGACCAGTTAATATCCCAGTTCTTGAACAATGCCCAAGTCTCGCCTTTTCTTGGGATGACAGCAATATGACCAGTGCTTCCTTCACGGCATGCGATATGATGAGAGAATATGGAACGATCTTTTGTGTTCAGATTTTTCCCAAGCCTGAAGTTACCAACAGAAACAGGCAAGTTTTCTTCAAACCATTGGATCTCTTTCTCGTTACCTGGAACTGGCTCTAGATATGTGATCCTAAGCCGAAAACAAGGAGATGAAACTTTTCTGATCAGAGCATACAATCGAGGCATCCCATCTGTATCATAAAGAGCCCAGGCCTGGCCAACTGCAAATTTTACTTCTTCCCTCAGTTTATCAAAGTCATTGATCTTTAGACCGGCACATTCAGAGGTCGTTGGTTGTACTACAACTTCTGAACTTTTATCACAAAAACCAGAGTTTTTAGCTGCCTCGAGATTCAGAGAGATCCCCGTTGCAGCCCCCACTTGAGCATCTTGTTTCATACTCAGCCGACCATTCTTGTTCATGGCATTTGGCAATGTTTCTTTGCAAAGATAAACCTCATGGAGTTGCTTTCCGCTTCCAGACTCTTCTCCTGCATCTCCATTATCATCCGACAGTCTTCCATTGCCATCTTTACTTAGATTTACGATAACATCTTCAGCCTTGCTCCAATTTTCAGTATTAAAATCTTCACAATACTCATCCCACTTTGTCTTCTCATCAACATTCATAGCACAGCACAAATCTGGGGAACTTACCTTTCCAAAGAAATTTGTGTCTCGATTCTTTCCTGAACCTGGATCACATAAACCAGAGCTCCCCGAAGCATATTGGTTTTTATTCAACTTCTTATTCGTCTTTATGACATTTGGCAGTGTTTCATCAGAACGATCAACTTCATGAAGTTGCTTCCCCCATCCAGACGCTTCTAGCCTTCCTGCATTTTCATTATCATTGGTTCCTCTTCTAGTATTGTGTACAGCACTGCCAATAACATCTTCCAACTTGCTGTGATTTTCAGTATTGCAATTTTCACCATACTCGTTCCTCTTTCTCTTCTCACCAACCTTCACAGCAAAGCTCAAACCTGGAGAACTTTCATTTCCAAAGAAATGGGTGCCTGGATTCTTACTTGGAACTTTATTCTGTTGTTGCAAGGAGAAAGCTTGAGCTTTTTCGTGCTGATTCTTGGGTGTCAACACAAGCAAATCACTCCTACTGTCGTTAAACATTGGACCAGCACACTCAGAAGTCTTTGGCTGTACTACAACTTCAGAACTTGTATCACAAAAACCGGAGTTTTTATCTGCCTCAATATTTTGAGCAATCCCCATTGCAGCTCCCACTTGAGCATATTGTTTCTTATTTAGCTGACCATTCCTGTTCATGACATTTGGCAATGTTTCTTTGAATAGGTCAACCTCATGGAGTTGCTTTCTGCTTCCAGAATCTTCCCCTGCATCTCCATTATCAGCCAACACCCTTCTACTGCCATTTTTACTTAGATTTACAATAACATCTTCAGAGTTGCTGCAATTTGCAGTATTGGAAATTTCACCATACTCATTCCTCTGTCTCTTCTCACCACAGCTCAACCCTGGGGAACTTTCCTCCCTAGACAAATGTGTGCCTGGATTCTTACTTGGGACTGTTTTCGGTTGGAGCAAGGAGAAATTCACTTCAACCGCATGAAACTTCTTCTTGCACTTCTGACAATTGAGCCATTTGTTGATATACTTTCTCAGAAAACGATACTTATTCGCACAGAATGGACACATAGTCCAAAAGCTTGGACAGGATCTGAATGGAACTGTCTGAGGTCGAGCTTTTTGCGGCTGAAGCTGGTTCTTGGGTGTCGAATTAGCCAAATTGCTCCTAATAACATGGTTTTGACTCACTGCAGTTTTCTCCATAGTAGGCAAAGTTGTCTGACTTGTTTTTTCCCCTGGTGTAGGGCCTTGAACAGGGACTTGGTTCCCAAAGAAGTTGATGTAGCAAGATTGACACCGGCTCGGTCTGTTGAGAAGGCTTTTATAGGATCTGTACCTAACAGTACAAAATGGACATATAGTCCAAAACATGGGACGATCACTGGAAGGAGCTTGGAAATGAGCTGTAGTCAAAGTCTCTGAAGCATCTTTTTCTCTATGAAGCTCGTCAATGGTGATATCCATCATCTAACAAACTTTGAAACCAGAGTGGACAAGCCCTCGAGAAGATAACTTTCTCCTCTTGGTTTCCTGCAGATGAATACAGTTTATGGCCATCAGATAAGGATCCTTCCAAAATCAGCAGAAAGTAATAAGAACACTAAAAGCAAGTGTCTTTGTATCTAAAAACCCAAACCTCACAATAGGATGGGACGAAATCTATAATCCTAGATTGAACAAGAACAATCAGCCTAGGTTCTCTCAGGTTACAGAAATTAACAAAAAGAAAACATTTAGATATAATCCACTAACCGATTCCGGAAAAACAGCACCAAAAGCGAACAGCGGCGGAGGCCTAGTTGTTGCCGGAAAAGGAAAGAAGATTCGTCGTGCACTAGTGCGATAAAGGACCTAAGTAAGGAAAATGTATAATATCCCCTTTAGCGGGAAAAGTTCATAGGCAATGCGCGGGAAACAAATCTGATATTATTTGTTGTGTCACAGAGATCAAAAATGAATTTTCTAAATTAATGCAAAATTGTGTCAAACTTAAGTACGATTAAAACATTCCCAAAAAAAAAACGGTCTTGTCTTTTATTTTCTTAGATCATATTATCAATTTAGTTTGTGTGTTTATGATATGCAAGTAGACCAAACTGCAAATACTGCTACTTCATAGATGGATAACTTACAATGGATCCAAGGGCTAGTGAACATGAACAAAGTTTCTCATCTTAATCTAAACCACCAAAAGTACCTCTCTTGACCAAAAAAAAAAGCAAAAACAAAAAAAGGGAAGTTAACTTTCTCTCCCTTTCAGTTGATCCACTGTATTGTTTCAGCTTCAGTCATAGAATCAAGTTAACGGGTAATGCCTCAATATTAGGTTCATAGACTTCTTGCAAAGCTCCATGTATCTCTTCTCTCACTTTCGAAGTAGGAACTTGATGCGAGAATCTGAGCAGTTCAGCTTTCGGGATTGTAAATCTCACATCCGCGCCATCGATCCAGTGCTCAGTAGCAGCTAAATACACCGAACCAAAACCTGCACGATCGGCTAATTTAAAGCCTCCATCAGGCGCCAACAGCAGAACCTTGTAGTCCTGTTTATCATCCAGAACTTCCACAATATCATATGTCTGGGATTGAAGATCAACGACATCAATGTCATTACTCCAGTTTCTGTAGATAGCCCAGATATCACCAGTCTTTGGCATGATACTGTAATTATTTCCATCCCCGGATGAGTCTGGGCTAATCTGACGTGAAAATACATCAAGATCGGTGAATATTTCAAGAGCTTTTGTTGCCCGGAAATTCCCACAGCCAATGGGCATTCTCTTGTCAATCCACTGGATGACACCTTTGGTTGGTGTAGCCTTTAGCCGACCTACATGCAATTTAACTACCGGATCCTGCTCAAATGCCTGAACAAATGTGATTTTCTGAATCTTGCCATAGTACCGGGGCAAATAATCCTCACCACTGCAAAATGACCAGACTTGGCCAGTTTGGAAAGTCCTTCCCTTACTAGCAAAGTGCACGCATTGCGAATGCATATTATTCTCAGAATTTGACACTTTAGGCTCTGCTAGTAGATGTAAAGGGACATCTATCTCTTTGATATTTGCTGGTAATGCAGCGGGATCCAGCTCATAAGCACCTCGAGGCACACCTTCTGCTTCTTTCCCAGTCGTCTGAAATGATGTAACACGGTGAGAGAATTGATATTCATCGCCACAACAAATGTAAGATGCAACAACTTTCTCAGTAAAGCGACTAAACAAGCTTAAAAAGCCTTTTGCTTTATGCAAGAACCCAACAGATAAATGTTCCCTTGGTCCAGCATTTTCTGACACGATTTCGACAAATGCATACTGATATTTATTTGGAGAATTGGCATCAGCTAACCAATTAATTTCCGAGTACTTAATCTTGTAGCGACCCTTGATGATAGCCCATGTCTCTCCTTTTCTTGGATATAAACTGAATTTACCCGCGCTAGTTACTTCATTGCAATGAACCTCGTGAGAGAACCTTCTGTGATCTTTAATAGTCTCATCTTTTCCAATTTTAAACCTACCAACAGAAACAGGCAAGTCTTTTTCATACTTCTGTATTGGTTCCTCGTCATATGGATCAGGCTCAAGCCATGTGACACTAACATCAAACCCAGAAGCTGAAACTGTTCTGATCTGAGCATACAATCTAGGCATCCCATCCACTGTATCATAAAGAGCCCAAGTCTGGCCAACTGCAAAATTGCTTACTTTCCTCAGCTTATCAAAGTCATTGAAAGCTAAAACCTGCTTTGCTCTTTCTGGTTCTTCTCCTACTTCTTCCTTTCCCAAAGACCCTTCACCATTTCTGTTGCTTTGTACATCGAAAGCTTGTTGCTTGCTATACACAGACCTCTGAGACTGCTCTCCTCCATCAAAACATAAATCTTCTATAGCTTTAGTGTCACCAACTATAATAACTTGTTCACTCTCGCTGCTGTTTCCAGTTTCACATTCTTTTCTCACCAATCCTTCTCTCTTTCTCTTCTCACCAGACTTCTGATTGTGATGAAGTGGAGCCTGTTCGAGACCAGATGAAGGAAGCTCTTGAGCACCATCAGGGTTAGTCCTCTCCATCACAGCTTCAGCCTTGAGTGACTCCTCCAATATGATCTCAACTTGTCAAGGTCAGTCCTTTTCATTAACAACAATGAACAAAAAGTAATCAAAACCAAGCAAATGTCAAAACAGTATGCACAAGATTAAGTGATCTAAGCATTTATTCCTCAGTCATATACTCAAAATTCAACGCAGAGAAGATAAGAGGAGTAAACAACCGAAAATTCCAAAATCGGAAGAAACTTCTGAGTATCCTACTAAAAGAACCCACATTTGAAAAAACCCTAGCGAAGTAGCGATAGAGACTACAATACCCAAACAGTAAGGGAATCAGATACAGCGTGTTAAGCCGATTAACGAAATATCGGCAGCGAGTTTCGCCGGATAACGAAAACTAAAGAAGACGAAGAGTAAGGGCAGATTAAGAAGCTTACTCTGTCTAAGCGGCCGACGTCGGAGAGAACTGTGGTCCGGCGAGGGTTACGTCGTCGCTGAAGGAGAACGAAAATCTAAAACTCTTTTTACTTTTCTCTGCCAAATTTACCCCTCTTCTCATTTCACGGCGGTAAAAAACCTTGTTGGCAATTTAGTTTTGGCGGGAAAACCTTTCATCGAGAAGAAATGGGCCAACGATTCATTATGAGCCCAACAAGCCCAGCTTCAGAAACAAATGGATCCGGTGAAACATTTATCTTCCTTATTTTCAACATATAATAATTATTCTAAATTAGTCCAGTTTTCTCCTTAGGGTTTGAATTTTGAAATTGTCCATTTTCTTCTCTCTACCAATTTCCCCCTCTGTTTCTCTCTCTTCCCAAATCCATTCGACAACGGCCACTGATTCTCCTTAGAGCTGAGAAATTCCGAATCAGATCTCAGGCGACTTGAAGCTCCGGCGATGAATCAGTACCACATATACGAAGCTATTGGACATGGCAAATGCTCGGTAATTTACAATCTCCACCGAGAACTTTTCTTTCTGAAATGTTTTGTATAGTAACTTCTTGTTCAAATCGGTTCGCAGACTGTGTATAAAGGAAGGAAGAAGAAGACGATCGAGTATTTTGCCTGCAAGAGTGTGGACAAGTCGCGGAAGAGCAAGGTTCTTCAAGAGGTAATCTAATCAGTAGATCTGTCTTCTCGATGCCGAATGCTTGGGCTACCTACGATTTTCCTGCGGTTTTGCTTTAATTTCTTGATTGTAAGGAGTTTATCTCTGGATTGTGACGGATTCACTCTGGATTTGTCAAATCGATGCTCTTAAGTTTCTATTTCTGGGTGATGTTTGCGAATTGATTTTTCACTATCTCTAGTTTTTGAAGTGACTTGGATACTGACAAATTTGGTAAGTATGCACTTCCTTTTCAGGTCAGGATCCTTCACTCGCTAAATCATCCAAACGTACTCAAGTTCTATGCGTGGTAAAACTTACTAGCTATTATCTAAACAAATTGTTTGGCTCCCTATATGTATACATTTGTTTCTAATTGTCGTCGTCCTGTGGTCTCAGGTATGAAACTTCTGCTCACATGTGGTTAGTTCTGGAATATTGCGTTGGAGGTGATCTCAGGACATTATTGCAGCAGGTATTGCTTGTAGTTTGGCTATGTTTGTTGATGATATATGGTCACAAGTTTTCTGAAATTCACTTGTTCTGCAGGACTGTAAACTGCCAGAAGAATCAATCTATGGTTTTGCTTTTGATCTTGTTATAGCTCTGCAGTAAGATCCTTTTTAAACCATTTTGACACGACTTCTAGGTGCATCTAGAAAATATTTTCTCTTATGGACATTGTTTTCTAAATTTCTCAGGTACTTACATTCAAAAGGAATTATATATTGTGATCTGAAACCATCAAACATCTTACTTGATGAAAACGGGCATATTAAGGTACGCATGTTTCTGTCTGGTGTGTAGTTTATGATGATAGTTTATATCGTTTAAATTATCTCATAACACTGTGTGTTGCAGCTGTGTGATTTTGGATTGTCAAGGAAGCTGGATGATATTTCTAAATCTCCTTCCACGGTAAATAGTTTTGTCCATCGTTTTTTTCTAGTGTTAGTGAATCTATGATCTCAAATTACATTGGAAATTGTGCGTCGTTAATGCTCTATATCTCTTGTGATAACTTGCATCAGGGAAAACGTGGTACCCCGTATTATATGGCTCCAGAGCTATATGAAGATGGAGGGATCCATTCTTTTGCTTCTGATCTGTGGGCACTTGGTTGTGTATTATATGAATGTTACACAGGAAGACCTCCTTTTGTGGCAAGAGAGTTTACCCAGCTTGTGAAATCTATTCATTCAGATCCAACTCCTCCACTCCCTGGAAATGCAAGCCGTTCATTTGTCAATCTCATTGAGTCTCTTCTTATCAAAGACCCAGCTCAAAGAATACAATGGGCAGATCTCTGTGGTCATGCATTCTGGAAGAGTAAGATAAACTTAGTACAGCTGCCTACTCAGCCTGCTTTTGATAATATGATTGGCATATACACAAAGCCATGCCTTTCCGAGCGAAATGGAGACAGACCAAATAAGACCCCTCCAAAGTATCGGGAGAAAGATCCAAAAGGGGGTTCAAAGCAAAATGAGAACTCCGTTCAAGGTTCAAAAGGCCATGAGACGCCGATAAAGGGTACGCCTGGTGGTTCTAAAGCTCAAACAAAGCTTCCTAGTAGAGCAACTGAGGAAAAGCATGGAGGTCGTCCTGGTGCTAACAGACAGATGAATATTCTGAGATTGTCAAGGATAGCAAAGGCAAATCTTCAAAAGGAAAATGAGAAGGAAAACTATAGGAGACCCTTACCTAATAGCAACGAGAATTGTGCAGAAGTGAAGATTGAGAACACTGACATGGAACTTGATTTTGATGAAAACAATGATGATGAGGGACCTGATGAATCAGAAGGAACCGAGAACACCTCTTGTGCACAAGAAGAAAGAGTT